TCAGCAGGTTATGGTGTGCTGGAAGTTGGTTAGCAGCCATGCTGAAGGTAAGAGCCAAAGCTTAGAGCTGCTGGTTGAGAGATCTGTCCTTAAGGCAGGCTTATCTCTTCTGCTTTGGTCTTGCTGCAAAATAATTTAAAATACTCTTCTGAGACTAAAACTGTTCTGTGTCTTAATTGCTATCTAATTTGTCATTGCTGAAGTGGCAGCCAGGAATGTGTGTATCACGTGCTGTGTTTTGACTGAACTCTTTGGATGAGCTCATGGAACGAGACAGGACATGATGAAAGCAGGTAATATGGGGTGCTCCTAATGAGGAGATGATGTTACTTGACAGTAGCCCAGCCCTAAGCTTTTAGTTTGAGAGTCTTACAACTGGCTGTGTAGGCAGGAAGAGAGGTAGTGGAAATCATAGCTGACCTCAGTTAATATAACTGTGGAAGCTTCAATCTGGGGTGTGGACAGAGGAGCTTGGAAAAGGGATTTTCGGTCTGAACAGAAGCTCTGGGCTGAGACTCATAGAAGGCAACTGGGGGGGAAAAATTAACAAAACAAGTGCAGTCTATAGCAAAATAAAGCCTCTGATCTGACAGCGAGTCAGTGGGGTGACCTCTGCAGATGCCTTAGCTGGGGCTTGGGCTGTCCCAAGTGTGTTTCTGTTCTGGGCTCAGTCCCCTGGCAGCACAGAACTAATCCACTGTGTAACTTAGTGGAGAAGCTCTATTAAAAGTCCTGCAGAAGCTTGTATTTTTGAAAGCTTTGTTCTGGAGTGTAACTCAAACTCCAGAGTGTTTGCATGCAGCGTTTGGCTGGCTGGAACCAAGCTGAGAAGTTTAGATGCCATACATAGCTGCCACATGTGGCCATGGGGCTCTTTCTGCTTAGTCATTTTTGTTGATACTGTTTTGCTTTTGCGTTTCTAAAAGTCTCTTGGCCTATATAAACACAGTTTTAGTGAGAGTGGGGATGTCGGTAGCTTGGTGTAAACTAAACACAAATTGGATTGTACAGTTCTGGCTCAAGTTTAAGGCGGTGGTAACTTGGTTCTGCTTTAGGAAGAGCTGAGCCACCGGAGGAGCACTGCCTTGCTGGCAGGTTGTGGGAAGCCAGGCATGGAACATTAGAGTGTACTCTGGACTTAAACAACTTTGTTGAATCATCGGTCTATTGTCCTGATTCAGAACTGAGATGAGGGGAGCCCAGTGCCTGGCTTCGCTATCTGGTTTCTATTATATGAAGCCAATATTTTTCTGCACTTCAGGTAGCTTAAATACTAAGTAACAGTGTACAATATGTAGTAGTAGCAACTAGATTGCACTGAAACTTGAGTATGGACACAATGGAGATGTGTTAATGTACTCAGATTTACACTTAAAAAGAACAGGATGTCTCTAGTTAAATGGAGAAATCCCAAAGATAAATCATGCTGACAATAACCTGAGGGGATGCAGTTCTTTACAGGTGTCTGACTTCTCTCCCTGAATCCACAAGCTCTTGGTGAGCAGTGCTTTGCAGCCCAGGCTGGAGCTGGGAACAGATCCTTCATTCATGCAGTGCGTTTGTCCAGGAAACGTCCTGTTCAGTCCACAAGTGGTTAAGGGCTGTGGGCGATGGGATGTGACAGACAGAGCAGGTGTCTCCTTTCCCCGGAGCAGCTCGTGGCAGTGGGCTGTGGCTGTGTCTGCTTGGCAGCGTGCTGAGAGCTGTGCTCCTTCCTTGCCACCCCTGCGTCGCTCTGGGGTGAACCTGTGTGGGGCTGGGTTAGGGGTGCGCTGCTTTTTGGGTCCTGGCTCACGAGCAGTGGTACTGCTGGTTGGCTCCTTGATAAGCGTGCTGCTGTATCCAGGGAAAATAATTAAACAAGGCTTCAGTGTTTGCAAGTTTTAACGAGTTGCAGCTCATAACCATCCGTGTAAAGCAGCCAAGGATGATGTTTTTCACATCCCAGTGCAGAACTTCCCTGAGCTTTCCTTTTCTGTCTGCCAACTCACTGTTAGTTGGGTGTTCAGTTCTGCGTAAAACGAACTCGTCTATCCAGATTATCTGTAGCATTGTGATAATTCTATATACATTTTGCACAGAAGATGCTGGAGCTCATCTCCACTGTTGTATCTCAAGTGTACGTATATGTGCAACCAGTAACCACCTAAACTGCCTCAGTATTGCTCCAGTAAAAAGAAAACGGGACTTCTTACAAGCAGAGACTGATGCCACATCAACAAAAGAATCAAAATGTGCTTTCTAGGTGACATCCACTGAGCAGACTTTACTTACTGCATCCTTATTGCAGCAGCTAAAGGTGACTGCAGTGGCTGTCCCTTCTGCACTGCTCACAGGCTCTGGGTGTTGTGAGAGGGAAGGTTGGATGCCAAGATCTCTTGCAATAGTAGTGCTGCAAAAATCTTAGGTATAGATATGAGTCAGTGCAAGAGCTGGCTTTTATTGGGATCAAGTATGTGGAAAAAATGCTTTAAAGGACATGAGAGTTTTTTAAGGCTGTCATCTGAAGGCAGAGACAGATGTAGAAAGAAGTGGAAGGAGCACAGATCTAGAAATAGAAGGGAAGATGCGGCTGCTGGGCTGCAGAAAAATGTGGTGTTCTGAATGCTTTGTGGCTTTGCAGAAGACCTGCAGCAAGGGCAGTCAGAGGCAGGCAGCATTTTCCAATGTTAATTTCTGATAGGTTTGTTTTCTCTTATCGCAGAGATGAGATAACTAACAGCTAATAAGGAAGCTAAGTGTGAGCAGCTTGAGTTTGAGCAGCTTACGCTGAGCTTGAACAAACTGATGGTTTTTTTCCCTCAGGAAATACAGGAATGAGGGAACTTGTTTGAAAGTAAACCTTCAAAACTTGAAAGTTTTAGGATGCAGTGCTCAAAAATATTTGTTCTCTCCTTACTGAATTCTGTAGTCATGCTGAATGCTTCTCTGTATTAAGTACTAATCACAGGGAGTGACTTACATGTCCTGAACAGAAACATTCAAATTAAAAAAGCAGAATTTTATACAAGCAATTGAAAATTTTTAATGAAATCCAGTGTGAAAAAGCAGATTATATTCATATATCTAATAGTGAGGAACTTTAAGATGTGAGGCTGTGGTAGGGAGGCAGTGAGGGCGCAGCTCAGTAGCGCTTCCTGCAGCAGCTGCTGTCACTTGCTGTGGTATGTGTGTTCTCTCTTACCTCAGCTTGACTTCAGTTGTTACTGGGGCTCATGCAGTTCTGTCCTCAAACCCTCTTGGAAGTCAGAGTGAGGACTGGCCTGCTTAGCAGAGGTGTGGACTTGCTGTAGGTTTTGGCTTTGAAACGAGCATCTTTGTTAGATAGCTGTGATATTACCTTTTTGCTGTAGGTACTGTCTTATGTAGATAGAATTTAGTTCAACACCTACATCTGTTCTCTCTGTTCTGCCACTCACAGTGAGTGTTTGACTTCATCTGTTGACTGAACCACGCTGGGTAGCTTCTAAGAAAAGCCTTTCCAACATGCTGCCAAGAAGTGAAACGTTTCTTGGGATTTCAGCATTGAATCATCTCCATGGATAAATTTGTCTCTGAATTAGCAATGGCTGAATGAAGTCATTCTCTCTTTCTGCCTCTTTGGGATCGTGATTCTTTGTGTGAGCTGAGCACTCTGAATACTTGGACTTTAACTCACCTGCATGAGGCTTGATTTCTTTGCTTTAGTTTATTTTTAACCATGCTTTCAGTGGTTTAATTGGCAGACACTGAATGAAACATTGTGGGCAGATTGGTTTGGCCTTAACGGTAGCCTTCCTTCCATAGTGGTATCAAGTTCTTACTTCAGGTTCTTCTGCATGTGTCTGAGGGCATTATAACTGCATAAGCTCAAGTTTGTGATGACAAGGAATCGGCACAAAACAGAGCTGCTGTTGTTGGTCCTCCACAAAAGGAATACATAGACTGGCTGTGGAAGGATACAGTGACATCTTTAAATAACAAGGGCTGTATAATGGCTGGCAGGATTTAAAATGAATGCAATAGCTCCTGTGAAACAAAACAAATCCTGATCTTCTCCCCTTCTCCAAAGTACCAAAGATTGATCACGAATTTGTGCTGTCTGGAGGACTGGATCAAGAATTGCTATTTCATATAATGACATTTAAAATCGGACTTTAACTTGAACTAATCAGTTGAGAGACACTTTTTCTCCACTGCAACTTCACTTTCAGGGAGAACTTCTTTGAGAGATTCATTCCCAGATACTGTACTTCTTTTTTTTCTGAAGCAAACTGAGAGCAGTTAGTGTGGTCTGTATCCAGGCTTGATTTCTGCATAGCTGTTTCCAGATAAACTTCCTATCTGGCAGTGGCTGCATGGAGTCTCCTATGAACCTTAAATCCTGTTTTGCTTATTGTTATTGAATGAAAATGTAGAACAAACAAATGAGAAATGAAACAGCTCATCGAGGCTCCCTTCATGTGACTGCACGTTTTAGAATTTAGTAAGCCATTATCTGCAAAATGCCCTGGGCATGTCTGTGTTCTTTTAAAGAGCCTGAAAAGGATCATTTAAGGGAAGTAGGATGTTAGTTTTAAATAAAAAAGATGGTGTGACTTTCTTCTCATGTTAACACTTTCCTAGAGCTAAAAATACACTTGAGTTTAATCCAACTCGTCAGGGTTCTTGCGAAGCAGTGTGATTCTTTCACTAGTAGGAAACGTGTGGAATCCTTGATTTGCATGTGTACCTGTTGCTGGATGCATAGAGAGCATGTGGAAAGGTGCTGAGTTGTGTTCTGACCCTTCTGCTCGTAATGTGCTCAGCAGGTAGTCGGACTGTGGGTCTCCACTCAGACGTGCAGCTGTGTGTGGCAGGGAGCTGAGGATGCTCATCCAGAGCCAAAGTCCATCAGCAGACACCAGATCACTGACTTTGGTCAGCTTTGGGGTTTTGGTCACCTACAGATACATGAATAAAACCAGCAAACAAATGCTATAGACATCTAAAGTTACTCTTAAATTCTTTTTTCTACACAGAGCTCAACAAAAATCCAGTGGAAGGCTTTTCAGCGGGCTTAATAGATGACAATGATCTTTATCGATGGGAAGTCCTTATCATTGGTCCTCCAGATACACTATAGTAAGTACTGCTACTTGTTTAGAAACTTAAGTATAACTCTCAGTTACTAGTTCCAACTTACTCTGAGTAGAGAACCTAGGTCTTTGTATTAGTTAGGTAATGCTGTTCTGTTGCTAGTAAAGTATTTGTAAATCAAGTTTGCTGTGAAGTTGTCAACTGCTTTGATCCCTTGGGAAGCTACAGTGCTGATCCCTTTGTGCACTATAGAAAGAGTAGACTATACCTAGAGGCAGCTTGTTTTCTATACAGTGAAGTAAATCAGGTGTAATCTACTATTACTCTAGCTTAGCTGATAGAACTACTTTAAACCATTCCAACTTCATGTGGCCATTGCATGAAAATGGCTGTAGAGTTGTAGCTGAGACTAATTTTCTGATCTGTTCCAGTTTCTCCCAGTTATCTCAATTTGAAATTTATCAACCCTCGTACTGCTTGCTGCTGAAGAATTTCCCAGTGTGACCTGGGGTGCTTTGATGTTGATCAGGCTTGCACTGTAGGCCAGCCTTATGCTGTAGGATTCAGAAAGCATTGAATCTTCATTTTTGTTCCCAAGGACTGGATTCTCTAATTGGCGTTTGCACACAGAACTGTGTAGTTCACACAGTACTGCTTTTCCTGGACTTTGAAGTTTGCTGTGTTTGTGCAGTGCTATATATATATATCTGAAGAGTCTCCCACATGTGAAGTGGGAGCTTCTTAAATAAAATAAAAAGGCAAATCTAGAGCTCTGGCTAATTGAGAGAATAACTTCTCTTCTGCAGGGATTCTATATGATCTCTAGCTCCCAGGAGGAAGTGCTGTGCTCAGAAGAGGTCAGCTTAAAGAGTAGCTATTGGGGATGAACTCTGTTCTTTATTAAGCTGTTCCAGTGGTAAATTACTGGTACAAAAAGCCTTCCAGTAGCATTAACTTGAGCTCAGTTTTAGTTCCGGCATCAAACTGTCGTATACCTTTGTCTGAAGGCATCTGAGTAAGTAGCTGAGTGCAATGATCAAACTGATTTGGCTTCTCAAGCTCACTTCGTGGTGACTCTCAAGCCTTTCCAAGACTAATTTTCCAGCAGCTGCTGACCTCTTTGGAACAGCCTTGTAGTGTCTCCATTGTATTCTCATGGCTTTATGGATGCTCTCAAAGGCAGTGTTTTCAATTGACCACTTCCTCACGCATTGCAGTAGCATCTTTCCCACTTCATTAAGGTGCTGAGCTTGTTTTGAGGCTTGTTAGATAGCAAAGTCTCTTCTGCTTGTGTCCTTTGTGTCTTTTTTTAGTGTAAAATCAGGCAAATCAGAGTTTGGACTCAGTGCATGATGCTGTTGGTAGACACCCCTTTGTCAGGAGTATTGCTAAAAATGATTCTGACTTTTCCCTTTGACACTTGCCTTTATTAACTGATATGCTGAAAAAAAAAAAAAAAAAACCAAAAAACCCAGAAACAAACAAAAAAAACCACCAGTTAAAGAGCTTTATTTAAATACCACTGATGAAGGGCAGTTTGGTATAATGTACAATCTAGTAAATCTATGATTTGCTTCTCTAAAAAAGGAAGAACTTTTCTGCTATGGAAAACAACTTAATTTGGGGCACAAATAGCTGGTGGTGTTTCTGAAATCCTTACTCTTACCAGGTAGAAGAGTTCTGTACAATTTGCTGGGATTTCTGAAGGGTTCTGAAAGGTTTCCTTCCCACCCCTGCCCCCCAGCTCTCTTTTAAGTCAAATCATTTAGATGTAGCAGTTTTCTGGTTTTTGCTTTTCTCTATTTCCCAGCAGCCTGCAGGCTCTGTGTACGGGCTGCTGCTCCACTACAGATGTGGGGAAAAATGAATGTGCAGACCAGCTTTGTCCTTACTACACCCATTCTCATCTCAGCTTTACTGAGGAGCAACTTTGTACCAAATGTCTTTGGAGGTTATGTTCAGTTTTTGTAAACTCTGCCTTTACAATTTCAAACTTTGTTACAAACTTCATTGCAAGAATTAGCTGGGCAAAGGTGGTGGAACTTACATTAGTGAAGGATTCCATCTGTAAGGCTTTCCTTTGAGTACAAGCCTTCACGTTTCTTAGAAGGAAGTGTTTAAATGTTGAAACCTAGTTATCTAAATAACTTCAGTTAAATGTGGACCTGACTGTATGCAGCTTCCACATAAAAACTGGATGTCTCTTGTTGTTCTCCAGTTTAGTGTGCAACTGTAATGCAGAGCACTTGGAGTCCATCACGCTGAGAGTTGAAGAGAAGTTATTAGGGGTCTCCTCCAAAAGTAATGCTGTAGCCATGAAGTTTAGTGTAACTTTTCACTGGGATTCACTATGACATCTGATCCTGAGAGATTAGAACACAGGTGTCTAAAGGAGGAATATAAACAGGTATCTGTGGGCAGTATTTGAGAAGGAGATGCTGGCAATATTTCTGTTAACAAATGTACTGGGAAGAAAAATAAGTTTGTGAGTTCCTTGTCACTTATTTTCTTTCTCTGGGATGTAGTGTTGGGGTCCTGGCAATATCTTGTGGTGGGATTGTAGTCTAGGATCTCCTTGCATTGCATGTGGAAGTGTTGGTAGTGTTAGTTAGCAACACATTAAGCTGCATGAGGGGTAAGCTGAGACCTTTGGGTGCATCAATAAGTCTGACCTTCAGCTAAAACTTACATTTCTTGTAAGATAAATATCTGTATTGTATCTTGTAAATATCTACTAAGATATTTTTGATTCCCCAGTGAAGGTGGTGTTTTCAAGGCTCATCTGACTTTTCCAAAAGACTACCCACTGAGGCCACCAAAAATGAAGTTCATCACAGAGATCTGGCATCCGAACGGTAAGAGATCAGAGTTGTAACTTTGTTGTAATTAAGAACTAAAATGTGAGGGAGATGAGTGAATACAATGCTGCTCATGCTAGAAGTACAAAAACATGCATTTACTTTGCTATCTTCACCTCAGAAAGAAATAGTAATTAACCATGGCAGAGTTTCTGTTATTGCTGTTGTGAGAGAATGCTCCTAGAGTATTTCACTGGTTTTGGTAACTTGGTCAGGGACTTTCGTATCTTTAAGTGTGAAGTTCTGGTCTGAGGATGAACTTCTGTGCTGTTCAGTACAGAAGACCCGTGGTTGTTCTCTTCCAGTGAAGCATGAAAGGAAGTAACAGCATCTTTTAGTCGTGGTCATGGAATCATAGAGTTGCTTGGGTTGGAAGGGACCTCAAGGATCGTCCAGTGCCAACCACCCTGCTAAAGATAACGACTCCCAGGGTTTCAGTTTTCCTAGTCTGCTGGACATAGATGGGAAGGTGAAGTAAACTGGAGGAGGGTTTTCACTGGAATGTTCTTTAGGTTCTCAAATCGTTAATGAAGCTATAGATACTGACACTGGGAGGAGCCCTGTACAGTGCCCCCCTCGTAAGGGAGTGAGAATGTTATGGTGCTGTATCTGTTTCAGCTCTGGACATAACAGAGTACTTGCCAGATAGTTTCTGATTTCTTAAAGTTGCAGCCTGGTGTTAAAATTAAGCTCCTCTGACCTACGTTCTGCCTCCTCCCTCAGGTGTTTAGGAATAATAAGACTTCACCAAGCATTATTTCTTACAGATCAAGTTCTGTGACACTTAATTACTTTTTTTAATGAAGTTTTCACCAACGTTTTCAGACTAGCTGGAATGAAGGTTAACAGTACCATCAGTATCCTGAAGAAATGCCAGTGTGCTCATTACTGAAATATGCCTTGTTCTATTTTGTAGTTGACAAGAATGGTGATGTCTGCATTTCCATTCTTCATGAGCCTGGAGAAGACAAATATGGCTATGAAAAGCCTGAGGAACGCTGGCTTCCCATTCACACAGTGGAAACTATTATGATTAGTGTAATTTCTATGCTGGCAGATCCCAATGGTGATTCTCCTGCTAACGTTGATGCAGCGGTAAGATTTTAATCTCTTTTGTCTGCAAATTGTCTGTAGTTTAGAAACCTAAACTTGACAGAACTTTCCAGTTTGACAAACAGTGCAGTAACTTTTTTGGACTAACTTTGTGTAACATGAGCTGAGGCAACTTCTTCCTGGGAATAGCAGTTGTTATAAAGATGATTTCTAGTTAGCTCTGGAAAATCTCTTGCAGCATGCAAAGCAGAAATGCCATCAAGCTTCATATGCAGTGTTTTTTCTTTTTCCTATTTGATTGTGCAGTTATTTGTAGCAAATAAACTAATGTACTGAAGTAGGAAGATAGTAGTAAGATAAACCTTAGTATTTGTCTCAGAAGCTGGCTGTAACACCATGTGGCTGTATGTGTGTAACAGAACCGTTGTGGAGGTTAGCTGCAGAAATCCAGGTATTCTGGAAGCTCTTTTCGTGTTACTTATATAAATCAGCAAAATTTGTTTTAAACCTGCTAGCAGTATATGTAACTTCCTTTGAATGGAAAGAGAGAACTTAATGGAGTACTTCATCATAATTATGTTGTGATCTTTTGCATTCACCTGTTTAAAATTGTCTTGAACGCGGATTAAAGCAGTTGAGTAGATTGGTCTGCAAGCCTCACTGAGCATTTGGTGAAAGTATTGTCCTAGGCTTGAATACCTGGCTAAAGAATGAGGACAAATAGTGTGTAGTCCAAGCCTCTGAATCTGTAGTGGGGCTGCTTTTGTGTTTGGATGTGTTTTATGCAACAAACATAGTGTTTCTGGAGCATGGCCTGTGCTACCTGGGTGTGTACACACTGCTATCAGTTCTTTAGAAGAGCTGCTTTTCTAGCAGAACAGCAACTAGTCTCATAACTGTTTGTGGTGGGGAGGGAAGAGTCTGCTCTGGGGGAGTGGGAGAACAGACTTGAGGCCCCATTCATCTGAGATATTCAACCAAGTGTGTTAGCATTATTCCTGCATTGCAATTCAGCAGTGACTGATACGTGTGAGTGTGGTTACAAAAGAGAAGTTCCAGGTGTAACTGGGGAAGTAAGGAAAAGGGAGGATAGCAATTGGAAGATGCAGTTTGTTTTTTAGAGGTATGTCTGCCAAGTTAGCTATGCCTTCCTCAAGTGGGACGAGTTTAGCTTCCAGAAGTCTTTGATCTGCTCTGCTGCATTTCCATGAGTGGTTGAGCTGTGCTGAAAAATCCATATGGGGAAAAGTCTTGTGCATCAAATTTAATGGGGTAAGAAAAACAAACGCATTTTTAGCAAGGGATTTACTCACGTAAAATAGTTTTAAATGTTGGCACTCCCCTTCTTGTGTCACATTACTGGTAGAAACAAGTACCAGGACAAGTGGATGCTTTCTGCTGGCAAACCTGAGAGCACTGGCAGAAGCAAGTTATTAATGAAATGCTGAAAGTACAATTGGAATTCCTCAGTTAACAACCTCATGTATGCTGAATGTAGCTGACCTAACACTGGAGAGAGCTTCTACTTCTAACTATGCTTATCACTCCTTAGAATTGTGTTTTGTGGGCTTTTTTTCCCAATTTTTTGATATTCAATCCTAACTTCTATCAGCTGCTTTTGGAGCAACTTTGCTTCTTTCCTGCAACTGTTAAATACAAAACTGCATTTGTTTACCTACTAATAAGTCCATCTCTGAACCATAGGGTAAGGGTTGGAAATGTCTTTGAAGGAATGCAGCTTTCTCTACCCCAGCCTGAAAGTACAAAAACTTACAATCCATCTCAGACTGTGGAGACAGCACTGAGTGTAACTGATGCAGCCTTTGGATGCTAGCAACTGTTTTTCTGACTGCAGTGCCAGATATTGCCAAGTAACTTTCTAACTTAACGTGAGCTACTTGAGCAACTCTGCATTTCCTGGTCTGTAGAGTGCATCCTCTTCATGGTAACCAGAGCATCCTCATCACAGTAATAAGGAATCAGCAGCCCATGCTTTGTTTGGAGCTACTCATCAAGGAGTCTTCTATTTATGTTATGTTCCTACTTAGTTTACTGCAGCAGAAGCATTTGGCAGTTAGTGAAAGATACTTTGTTCTCATTAATTGCGTTTTCATTTCCTAGATCCACTTAAGGCTAAGTGTTCACAGGCAGATCAGAGCTGTACAGGAGCAGGGGAAGTAGCTGCTTCCTGGAAAACTGGTGTTGGAGTGCTGTTTCTTTCTGTGGGGACAAGTGAGGGACAGTGGCCTGGGTAGGTGCTGTGAGAAGCAAGTGGAACTAATTTGTAAACCAAAAAAATTTTGGAGAGATTGCTGTGAAATTGGGAATGTCCCTTGCTGTTCAGTTCTGAACACTTGCTTCATAGCACTACAAATATAAGGAGGAAAAAAACCAAAATGCTAAGAGTCTGAAGTTAGGAGGGCACATGAATTCAAAGCTTTTTGCCTTAGTCCCCTTCTCCCCCCCAGCTTGTGTAAGTTGTCTTTTCTCCATTCTAGGAACCAGTTGCTTCAATATTAATTTCTGAAAAAGGAGAACAAATAAATCAGTGACCTTGTTTGTGCTTCCATCAGAAAGATCAGACGTGCTGCTCTTCTCCAGATGCTGAGTGGTTCAGTGAGCTGGGAGGTGGTGGTGGATGTTGGGATGTGTATCAGTTGTCCCAGTTCTCTCACTCGTGTGCTACGACCTTTACCCTGTGCAGGAGGCAGGGAGGTGTTGCCTGATAAGAGTGGTTATCTCAAAAGAAAGCGTGACTCTTATTCATATTTTCTAATTCCCTTCATCCCCTTAAGAATGCTGCTTATACCAAAAGCTAAGAAAGAAAGAACCCTCTATTTCATTAAATATTTTACTGCTACTTCATGGCTGAATCATAAGGCAGTGTCAGCCTTAGACCTGCTGTGTGCTGCTCCTATGCCATCCTCTGTTTCCTAAAGCTGGTGTGAAAGTTTTAAGTGACCTTACTCATTCCTGTGTGTTTTAGTGATACTGTGGTAATGTACATAGCTGGGTTCAGCCTTCCCCTTTGCTTACCTTCATGTTCATCTTTGTTCTTCATCTGTGCAGTTCTGAAACCAGTACGTGTCCAGAGACCTTCCCTGTAGATCTGCTGAGTGTTCTGTGTGGTCTTCCTCATGGAGATGATGGCATGCAGCCATATCTAACTAGGAGTTTTTCTTTCTGAACACACTGCTGTGCCTCTTGTGAAGACTGTACTTCTGTCCTTGCTTGAGTTGATACTGTCCTTTAACAATGTTAGAATAACTACTGGCTCTACAGTAGCTGTGTGCCTTTGTTCATTGCTGCAGTTCAAGCCAGATTCTGTAACCCCTAACAATAGCTTGTGGTCTACAGTTTGCTTCTGCTTGTCAGGCTGGAGTAAATGGATTTCAGCCCAGGCACAGTAAAATCCTAGTAGCTACCAGGTTAGTCTTGGAGAATGCTAAAAAGCCAAGAAGGGAAGGCCGAGTCTTGCAAGCAGCTTGTATTAGAAACAGATGAGCTTCCAAACTCTGGCTGTCACTGGTATTTAGTGAATGGCTCAACGAGCCTAAACAGACGTAGGTATTGATGGCAAATGTCTGAAAACGTAAAACACCAGGATTCTTCCTAGAACTTGTACATTGCTGTAGCATTGACACCTGAAAGCTGTCTATTCAATTACAGAAAGAATGGAGAGAAGACAGAAATGGAGAATTTAAAAGAAAAGTTGCCCGCTGTGTAAGAAAAAGCCAAGAAACTGCTTTTGAGTGACACTTATTCAGCAGCTAGTAGCTTCACTTTTTTCAGGGTAAGTATCCTTCTAAAGAACAGTTAGTTGTCTGAGCTGAGGGTTTTCTGCCTACGTGTTGCTGAGCTCACTTTTCCTCAAAGCAAAATACTTTTTTCAGCTGCTTGGTCTTACAGGAGTTCTTTGGCTGTATGCAATACCAAAGCCTGCATGGTTAAAGGAATGCTTAAAAAGAACTTTCTCATGCAGTAACAGCTCCTTTCGCCTAGACTGGGGACCTTCGTAGTACTCTTCTATTTATACCATTCAGAAGCTGAAATTCTCTTTTGGCAGTATTCATCTTGCTTCACTAATAAAGCTTAGGAATTACTGGAGTTGTAATTGAAAGGAACACTCCTTCCTTCACATTCATTATTGCAAAGAGCAGTTTTTGACTCTTCAAAGCATCCTGTCTTGCTGTCTTGAGTTCATACACATACAGCATTTCTCTTGCAAGTATTGGTGGCGTGTTGCTTGTAGATCTTCACTGAGTTTTCACTGCGATTGAGAACCATTCAGATAAGATTGCTTCTGGTATGACGGGAGTTTTTGTAATAGAAAGTACACTAGTAGTGTATCAGGATGGAGTTGAGATGTTACTTGTAGATTTTATCAAGAAAGGTGATATTTCCTTCAAACAGCTTTTTTCTGAGGGTGGTTTAGAAGTAGCATCAGAAAAACAGCTAAATGCTGTTTGAGAATTGAGCAGCCTTGGAAAGTTTTGACCTCAGAGTAGCTGATGTGATCTGTTTACACTTTGTCACCCTGATGATATGAATTTCGTTTCAGATGCATGCTCTAATTTGAGCTCTCTGCTCTTCAGTGGATTTCAACAATAAGGTGTTGTAGGAAGCTCAGAATTAAAATGTGGCTTTTAAATACATAGCCTTTTGTTACTTTGTTCTTTAGGTGCCAAGAAAAAAGCTTTAACAAGCTAATAATCTCTCACTCTTGCTTTTCTGAAGCAAAATTGAAATTTATGTTGAAGCTCCCATTTCTTAATGCTTGGTTTGGCAAACAAACTACCCATTTTGCTGGAGAAGCTCAAAGCATGCATATTGTTGGCTTCAGCACACAAAGCTTATGGAGGAAAAGTATGGTGCTAAATGTTGTTCAAAAAGGTTGTACTGTCTGAATGACCAGAACAGCTTAACAAACTCCAGTTATGGTTTTTCTTCACCAAAGTTGTGTGGGAGATGCTTGCTTTCTTACATCCTTGGAGGAGCCTCTTTGAGGGGCTGAGGCTCTGTGACAAACTAGGACTGCAGTGTCTCTAATCTGAATAAATGCTTTGATTGAGCTGAACTTTCCCAGAAAGGGCAAGTGCAAGAAGTGCTAATGGTTAGCAAAGACTAGGTGAGGGAACCAGATGGCTTCTGCAACTGCCCTGTAGTTTTGTGTAATAGTTTTTAATGTAATTGACAGCTCTTCATCCTCATTGAAAAGACATAACCAAATGTCCTTAGTTAACCTTTGCTGCTGCCATATTAAACTTGGCCATAATACAACAGTGACAAATGTTAAGTAATTGGTTGTATTGCTTTTCTGGAAGACAGAAGTTCTTTTTCTAAATCCTGGTGACTTCCCAAGCAATGAGTGGTGAATTGGTTAAGAAGTGGCCATGTGGCTGCTTTCAAACAGGCACAATCTGGCTTGGTAGCTGTGGTGTTACTGCTTAATGAAGCACTGCTGTGCCATGTTGTACTGCAATTTTCTGTTGAAGCAGCATCCATCATTGATAAGAAGCGGTATAGAAAGCTTCAGTGATAAATCTATCAATATTTAAATATGTGCAAAACCAAACCTTTACACTGCACACTTGACAAGCAACACGAGTAACAGGAGCCTGAAAGTCTGATAGTTGGACTGAGATGCACCCTATGCTGAACGTAACTCAAGTCTTTCTCAGGTGATGACTTTGGATTTATGCATCTTCTCTAAGGAGGTATGTAAAATTCTTGAACAAATAAGTATCTTCTATGAGTTTTAAGCACTACTTAATGCTTTTTTAAAATATTAAGGATCATGAGGGGTTTTGTTTTAATAATTGTGATTTCTTTATAGGTCTCCAATTGAGAAACATGGCACTGTTTTTTTTCCTGCACTCTACCCACCTATTGCTGGACTTCTGTTGTTACAAGTTGGCAAATACTGGCTGGAACTGGGCTGCAATAAAACATGCCAGTTATCAATGCTGACAAGAGCCTAACAAGTGCCAACACAAGATGATTACGCATTTTGAAATCTAATGAACTGCTTTAACCTTCAGGAAGAATTGTAAAGATGTGTACATAGCACAACATGATCCGGATAATATATATACTGTTCATGTACATCCACAAATACACATTGTACCAAATAATGCTGTCTGTAGGTAGGAATAGAATCGTGTAAATTCTAAAGATTTTAGCAGGTTTTTTCCCTATTCATTGTTTCCTATCAGTTTGAAAAAACAAACAAACAACAAAACAAGAACAACCAACAACTTGTGAAGCATGTCAAACTAAAACCAATTAGGATTAAAGTCCTTTTTTTTCCCCCACTTCAATTTTCCTTTGACCCATTGAGGCTTAATTAAAATTTCTTGTTATTGAAGTTTAGTATCTTTTGTTTTGTGTTTTTTTTTTTTTTGTTTTTTTTGAAATGTGCTCCCTTTTATTCCCTCATCAGAATTTAAAGTTTTCCTAATTAAACCCTGAAGGGATTTGCTATCAATTACTTGTGTCTTCTTTTATGATGACCTTTGTAGTCCCTAAGGTGCTTTTTTTCCCTTACCACCTTTTTTTTTTTTGTTTAAATAACCAATTGCACATGCTTCTTGAATTGGGTATAGCAATAAAACTGGCCATGGAGCACCCTTGAGCAGCCTGCTGGGTTTTACCTTCCAAGGGACTTGAGCGCTTTTGTTCAGAAGTTGAGTTGACTAAGTTAGTCTAGTCCAAGATGGGGATAAGCTGCTTTCTATGGGTGACTTGTTTTTTTTTGCCTTTTCCATTGCCTGTTTGTGGGGTGGGGTGTGTGAGGGAGATGTTTTTTCTCAAGGTTGAATTCAAGCATGCGCATCTGTAGGCTTTCAAATGACTAACTTCTGGGTTTGGTATCAGAACTAGTTTTTTCTTCTTATCCCTTTTCTCTCTTCTGTGGCCCTTCATATTCTTTGCCTTCTATTTCAGAGTTTTCCTCACCTAATGTACAAAGAAAATTGCGATGTATATTTTCATGTAATTTGATTTTTTGGAATTCTGTCACCTTCTGTAGTGAGTTCTTCCAAAATATAATTTTTTCCAATACTACTGTGTCAAACTTGCTGTTTTCAGTATCAAAACAGGAAGGGGAGCTGCAGTTGGGTTGCAGCTTATCTGAGCATTTTCAGCAAACTTCTGATTGATTTGACATACTGTATTTATTCCTGAAATTAAAAAAAAAGAAAAAAAAAAAAAAGCACACCTCTCTTCTGATTGGAACCAGCTTTGGCTCCAGCTGGCCCCCAGCAGAGCATCCTCCTCTAGTTGAGCTGCAGGTGGAAGCTTTTAAAAGCAGAGTAACCCACAACTCTGACACAGAACACGGCTGCTTCATTGTGTGAGAAGCCTTCAATAGTGATAAGCTCGCTGTGGCTGGACTCCATTCCAGAATACTGTGCAACAGGAGTGTACAAAAAGGTGTAACTGCAGGCTTCTTGAGAGGTGGGCTGGGGGTGGGAGATGAAGGTGATCACCAGTTCCAGACTCACCCTGTGGGACATGAGAAAGGAAAAAAAAAGCCCCTGAAATACAATAATACAAGTGAAGGTGAGACTTATTCCTACAGGTGTTTTAGGTGAACAAGGTTTTTATTGATATATATACATTGATATACTTGGTAACTCAACTGTTTTCAGAAACCTGTAGTTATGTTTGGTGTAACTGAATAGCTTCCTCATGGGAACAGACTTGTGCACCGTTTCAGTGCCTTCAGCATCCAGACAGTAGCTGATACTGATTTCCTTTTGAAAGGTTGTCTGAAGCTGTTGGTGGGAAATTGCTTGCCTGCTCTCTGGCTACCCTTTCTCATTTATCAAGTAGTTGGGACTGCAGAATCCCAGCACTGTGGTGCTGTTCTCTCCCTGAAGAAAGAATTGGGAATGTTACTCTTCTATTGAGTAGCAGGGGCCCTGCTGTCTGTTCTTCCTTTCCCTTTCCTATAATGTATCTATGGAGCTAACACTGACACAAGGTAATTTTATTTTCTTTTTTTACTTTTAGCAAGTTCAGCAGTGTTCTGTGCTTTGTCTTACTGAATGAAACATATGGTTTGTAACTGAAGGATCTGTGAACTCCACAAAACAGTTCAATGCTTCCATTTTTCTTATTTGCTCTCTAGAAGAGCTGCTGGTTTGTTCCTTGTTGGTCTTCAAACAGCTACATGGAAGACCTGGTCGCTCCACAAAGCTATCGGTTCTACTTTTTGTGAATTATTTTAATACAAGAAAACGTTTGGCTTACCTAGGATAGTTTGTGATTCCACGCAACCCAGAGATTTCAAAAGGTGTAGGTGTTGCTGATGCTCAATAAGGCAGGTAAGATTTTGGTGCCACTCATCCAGCTTGCAGAAGGTTTCTGGCAGGCACAAAGGAGCCTAGTCGGTATTTCTGAGGTCACTGTCGGCTGTTAGGTCTTGCCCTGTACATAATAGAACTTGATTTTTAATGTCCTTTCCATGCTGTGATTGAGGGGACCCTGCCATGATGCTGAATGATAGCACTAGCAATGTGACTGACTTCAAGGTAAGAAAATGACTGAAGAGACACAGCATGTGCAAGCAGTGCCAAAACACTCGTTGAACAACCACATGAACTGTCTTTGTACAGCATTTTCACGTGTTCTGAGATCTTGTGTGTACTCTGTTTTATGTAGCCTGGCATTTCCAAACACATGCAGGGGCTCAGCACTCAACAGTGGAGTGCAGGAGCACGCGTTGGTTTGTCACCGAGCTGTGAGGAAGGAGATGGGGCGCGTTTCACGGTGCCGTGCTGTATGCAGACACAGATGGGGACTCTCCATCTTGCTTCAGGAGCTGGAACGTGGGTAGGAGGCAGGGCAACTTTCCAGAGGCCGCTAAATGGTGAAGCGATGAGGAAATTACGTGATTGAAAACAATACTGTAGGTACTGTGTTAAAATATGTATGTGAAAATCGCTCTCTAGAGCTACATCGCTGCCGTGTCGGGCAGGCCTGGGGCGGGGCGCTGCTCGCTCCCTGCCTGAGGGCGGAGCCGCCGCGATAAAGCGGCGCGGGTTGCCGCCGAGAGCGGGCGGCGGCCGAAGCGGGAGGTGCAGCGCCGCTCTCGCGAGAACACCGCGCTCAGCTCGGCTAGGTGGCGCGGGCGGTGGCTCTCGCGAGAGTCGAGGCGCCGGACCCAACATGGCGGAAGGTAAGGGGGGGAGCCCGGGCGAGCGGTCGGGCGGGGCCGCGGTCGCCGAGCGCGGCGGCAGCGCTGCTGGCTGGGTGGCCCTCGGCGCTCTTGGGGGGCCGGGGGCAGCCTCTGTGCGGGGCTGACTGTGCGGTACTCTGCCTGCCGAGGGTGGGGTAGCATTGCATAGGGCAGGCTGCCTGCTTGCCTGCCCCTGAGGTGAATGTGAAATGGCGGGGGGGGGGGGCTGCTACGGTTTGGGAGGGCCTGTGAGGGCCCGTCCGGTGCGGGGCTCTGTGGGGAGGTGCGGCCCGGGGAGCTCGGTGTAGAGAGCCCGGTGCTGCCGGGGCAGGGTTGGGGATCGCCGAGGCGCTGTGCTGCAGATCCGGCACTGCGCTGCTGGGACCCTTCTGGCACGGTTGGGCTGCACCTGCAGGATCCCTGAGCCGCACTTGTGTGGCTTGGAGGCTCTCAGTTATAGCCTTCTAAAACTTAAACGGAGGTGATGTGATTTGCAATCTGCTCGGATCTCTACAGTGCTGTTCCTGTAAGACAGAAGCTTCCTCTTTTTCCTCCCTGGAGGAAATTGAATCGGCAGGCTGTGCTGAAATGGCCTAAATTACAGGCACAGCAGAATCTCTAACTTCCAGCCTTAAAGCACCGCCTTCAGCTCCCGAACTCCAGCTCTTAGGCAGTAATAGAATTTCCAAACCATTTGTTAAAGATTAACTAGATATGGCACGTTCAGATCTAGTGTGCATCAGCTGAGGAGATGCTGCAGTCAGGCTCGTGTAGTAAATCCTTACAACAACATTTTAACTTCAGCACACACATCGTAATAACACAGTTCTGTGCTTAGCTGACCCGCCTCTGATAGGTAGTAAATGTCAAAGATGTCTGTAGGTGATGAAACTTCTGTGCCAGGACACTCAAGGGTCTGGTTCAAGATCCTGTACTGCCAAGCAGTGCTGTGTTTGGAACAAGTCCTGTTTCAGGCATTCGTACACCTCAAAGACTCTTCCCTAATTCAAACAATTCTCTGATCTTTTGGCTGAAGAAAGCATACAACCCCTGAGTGAGCCAGTGTGAATGTGGGCAAGAAGCTGGAGTTGAAGCCCTTCCTGCTCAGTTCCTCATGAAGCCTGGATGGAGGGTTTTGTTTTGTCCCTTCAGATAAAGTGCTCACATTCAGTATCTTTTTTTTTTAAACAGTTTTGGGTTAATGCTACTATGTGGTCAGCTGAGAAATGAAGGGAGCTTGTCAAATTATGGCCAGCTGATCAGAAACCAACTGCTTTTTCTTGTGGAGGTGATGTCTCTGCATAAATCCCAAATTAGATTTATCCAAACCTCACAAAGACAAGCGTAAAGCTTGCTTTTGTGTCCCTGTAAGAGTCATACCAGAGGATAGTAGGGGACATGCAGGTATGAGTTAGATTAATGCTTGAGTTTAGAGCAGCTGGAAGTACTGCAGTATTTTTGGAATAGTTGTCACAGTAAAGACACAGTAAAGGGGGCAAAATTGAGGAGGAACAAGGAGCAGCAACATGAACAGCTGTGAGGAGGAGGGGTCACAGTGGAGCAGTGATATGAAGGACCTTCCTCTAGGGAAGGAGATAATGCATTTTTTCTGTAATATTCCTCTCGAACACAGTTGGAAAGAAGAAAAACTTACCCATATTGTTCTTGAAGGGCAGGGTGGACAGTGCAGCGGGTTCCACTAGGCCCTCCCTCTAGTTTTGGTACATGCTATCTGCTTCTTCAGTTGCCACTTGCCTCCCTTCTTATCTCTTTGGGTTCAGCTATCACAGTTGTTCTTTAGACTTCCTTGTGCTATGCTGTATGAGAAAAGGGCACTGGTTCCTTGTGAAGTCGTCTTTGAAATTGATAAGGGCCTTACACTTCTGCCAGTTAGTGAGGTGTTAGTGCATCTGCCAGGAATCTGTTAACAATTACTGCTGCTGTTCTCTTGTCCAGCCATCTGTTAACTCAGGTATCAGGTGTGAGCTGAGGAGTTGCTGTGTGTGCACCAAACCCAGGCATCCTGTTTGTAGATGTAAGTGGATTCACATTTAGCCAGAGCCCTTCATGCAAGTAAAGCTGTTCCTCAGTGTCTTGATGCAAGGATCTTCATTGCTGTACTGTTACTGCACAAATAAGTATGTACATCTATACTTGGGTAGGTGAATATTCTAGCTTTATGCTGGTGATAATAGGTGCTCTGTAAAAGGGCTTGTCAGCCTTGAGAGCCAGTGGTCATTTTACATTGATTGTAAGTGTTCACTTCCCCTGAGATTTGAGGGCTATAAATAGCAAAGCTGGAGTTGTGGTGCCATGAGCTTAGACAGAGGCAACACTTCTGTGTGAGCGTGTGTATAATCAATGAATATAGAGATGTTATAATCATGAGATAAACAAGCAGGTTATTATACCAAAAGGAGAATAGATAGAGTGCCTACCCTTGTCCTGGGCTTGCTGTAGAACTCCAAAGGAGGGATCTCCAGAAGAGATCCTTCCCTACTGGTAGTCAGCCCTTAAATGGCTCTAGGAGAGGTGCAGCCAGGCTCCACCCTTCCAGCAGCAAGGTGAATTGCCTTCGCTGTGCTCCCAGGGCTGACTCAGTGCTCAGTCAGAGGTTCAGGCCGTGATTCAGCAGTTCCCATACAGCGTGTGGTCCTTTCAGAGTGGCAGTGCAGCAGGGCTCCTTAAATGAACAGTGCACCGAGAAGCTTTAAGGCAGTTCTGTGCTGTGCAGCCAGTGAGGTGACATTGGTACAGCGAGAGGATTTGAGGAGTTACTTTCTGGTGCTGATTCTTTATTCCCATATTCTCACTCTCATTGTTTGCCTTGAAGATATAGTTATTATTTAAGGTTAACTATGCTGTGAGGTACAGCAGGCAGCTTCTTGGTCCTAGCTCTGGGTTGGTGTGACACCTGAGAATTTCAGTGTGCCAACAGCACTGCTCCTGCACCAGTTTCTGCAGCAGTTCTTTGAGGTATCTTTCAATGAGGGCTCTCAGCTTGTATCAGATGCTGTTTTCCCCATTGTGGCAGTTGGGTTTGCTTTGTGCCACCCTGTGAATCACTCAGCAGTTGCTCCAGAGAAATGCCCTGCTAGTTCTGGGAACACTGGAGCTGTGCTGTCTTCAGTAGATGAACAGAGCAGTGCTTCAGGCTCCTTTGAGGGCTGGTGTGCTGTTGCTAGCAGTTCTGGAATTGTAGTGTATTTCAACACAATGAGCATCCCAGAGGAGGTGAGATTGATTAGCTGTTAAAGGAGGAAGCTAAATAAATGGCTTTTCAAGGAAGTACACTGCTGAACTTGCTTAAGTAGTGTTAACTGAAGAGTAAAACAGGGTAAATTACCTCCTGTTTATCCATTAGAGTTTAGTTAAAAGACTTCTGAGGGAGTATTTGCTACAGCAGCCCGCAAGAAGAAAGACTAAATGAGGCTTTCATCTGCAGCTGAGCAGGAGGAGGATGCTCTGCCCGGATGGCTGGAGCGCAGCCAAGGCCAGCCGTGCTGCTGATCTTTGCACCAGAAGCAGAAAGAAAACACTGGCCGTAGAGCTCAGTTCCTCATTGTTTGTAGTAGTGTCTTACATTTAGTAAATATTTGAGGAAAACTTGTTGAACAGTGAATTCCTTTCTAGCAGGGAGGAATCTTGTAATAACTTTCCCAGTGAAAATCATTGGTTACTGTCCAAATTTCTCCTCCCTGCCCCCTTCTTGTTGCGGGATTGACTTTGGATGTAGATTTTACTTAGGAATTTGTCTGATTGGTGTGGGTTCTTATGGGCGGGTAATAATCAGTGAACCACAGTGACAGCAGTGTGCAGTTTGTGCAGGTAGGTTGGGCACTCTGGGTAGATGTGGGACTGTCAGCAACTGCTGCTACGCTCACTGTGCTCAACGCAGCTGCTGTGAAGGCAGTCAGCATCACAGCTGAACTGAGCTAATTGCTAACTGCTGCTGAGAGGCTTTGTCCTCCACTCCTCTGTAAATGACACGGTCGTGGACTTGGATGGCTGTGGAAAGCTTATGTTGGGTAGGATTTGGGAGCTTTGGTTGTGAGTAGCGTTTATCACTGCTTTCTGGTGATTTCTCCCCCTGCCAAATGTGCCTGAAGCCAGCAATGATCTGAACTGTTCAGTATTGGGGATGTGATGGAAGAGCTTTACTGCAAAGATGCCTGGTAAAATTGTGTGCAGCGCTTATGGGGCGAGTTACACTGAGATGCCAAATGAAGATGTGCAGTGTTTCAGCCTTGAGTAACACTGTGTGCCTCTGCAGAGGAGGTGGCCAAGCTGGAAAAGCACCTGATGCTTCTCCGCCAGGAGTATGTGAAGCTGCAGAAGAAACTGGCTGATACGGAGAGAAGATGCAATCTTCTGGCTGCCCAGGCTAACCAGGACAACGCCAGCGACACTTTCATCAGCAGACTTCTTGCCATTGTAGCTGAGCTCTATCAGCAGGAGCAGTACAGGTAGGAGATTTCCCTTTGAGGAAGGGGAGATGACTGAAAGGTTTGACTTTCGAGGCACAATAGCATGCTGGTAAAATATGGTGTTTGTTAGGTAGTGTATGTCAGAGTTGGATTGTTTCTTCTTTAAATCTAAAATCCTGGTCAGAAATAAAGGTGTGGAATAGTAATTGAAAAAGAATGCAAGTCATAGGATAAGTTTTAAGATCTTTGTGCCTTGTACTTCACAGTGATGTTTTGGTTTAGAAAGTTGTCTGGAAGATGCAGCTACGCAGTCAGAGCATTTAGAAACTAGAGAACTTGAAAATCAACAGAGCATGTGCTTTGTAGCTGCAAAGGATAATCTGTGGTTAAAGGGGTCAGTGGAAATTAAAGTGTTCTTGACAGCTGCTCTCCTAGGAACTGGGGGTTCTTGGAGTGTGCCTTGTCCACAAGACTGCTGTCAAACTTCATCTGTTCTGTTGCTGATCTTGTCTGCAACCTTTGGTGCTTAGCTGACTGCACTGCTGTGGACATTGCAACCTAAATATTTAACTGCGGGATTTCTGGCTTTTCCAGCCTACTACAGTACTTCCTTAGTAGTTTTCTGTGAAGCAGTTAACCTTTAATGACTCATTCACTGTATTTCTACATAGAAAAAATAAAAATTGGGTTATTTGTCACAATGCTGCATTTAACCAAATGTGTTTTGGTATCTCAAACAAGCTGAACCTAAATGTGCACACAGGGATGGGTGCTATGGAGTTGCTTAATCTGTTCATATCCAAGCATAGGGAAAGCCTGCTTTATCCATGTCTGTGCTTTTTTTTTCCCCCTCTCATCAGTGATCTGAAGATAAAAGTTGGGGACAAGCATATCAGCGCTCACAAATTCGTCTTAGCAGCACGCAGCGATGCTTGGAGTCTGGCCAACCTTGCCTCAACAGAGGAGCTGGATCTGTCAGGTCAGTTACTGCTCAGTGAGATGCTTCAGTTGTCTTTAGGGTGGCTGGTGAAAGAGTCTGCTGGAAAAAAGGTTACCCTTGTACTTTTTGGTTGGGCTACAACTGTCTGCAAAAAGGGGTGTTCAATCGATTGATAATGAAGCTCTGTTGAAACAGGGAGGCAGGCTTGTGAGCTTGATGCTAGTGCTGGTTAAATCATAACTTGCCTTCTTTGTCTTTAATGAACAGGGGTTGAGAATGGTGGCCTGTTTGTCTTTTCTAGAATCAACTAAATGTAATGAAAAGCAAATCTGTATGGAGGAGCTTGACTTCTTCCTTTCTAAGGACAGGGCTTTTTTGAGGTAGTGTGCATAATTGCTCTGAAGTGTGTAATGGAAACACCTTGCTTCTTGTTAACAGTGTGTGTGGAGGAAATGAGTACCAGTTTTCATCTCTTGCAGAAGTGATGTGCTTTGGTGTTTTGATACCTTTACAAGATAGGCTGAGAGAAATGACATGTTCTGAAAGAGTGTCTTGTACAAGATGTTTTATTCTACTGTTGCTGTTTCTTGCACATTCTTACACTGAGCAGAGTTTCTGCAGGTTGAGCCTTTTGACAGATTTTCTGCAGTATAGAGGAGTTTTGCACAATTAATTTGTGAGCAGTAAAATGGGTATGAAGTTAGGCAGGTTTGCAGGCTTGCATGTTGAATACCAAGCATTGGCTTCACTGTCTGTGCTGAGTCCTAAACGCTGACAAACTGGAAAGAAGCAAGTCACAGCAAGCCAGCTTGTGAGACAGCTTGTGGCAGGCTTTGCTGAAAAAGGATTTCAGGATCTTTCTGCAGCTGCAATAGAACAGAGGCCAAGAAGTCTTTAAATTGAGTGATTTACTCCCAGAGAGCTGTGTGCTGCTGGTGGCTTTGTTGCAAGTCTTTAAATGGCAGTCATTGCATTTCTAGCTCTGTGTTCTCACTGATCTGAGAACCTCAAATGTAGTTGTGTGGTTTTGCATGTTTAGCAATGCAGACACTTCCTATAACAGAATCATACTTAATACTATTGACTACATAGAACAAATAAGAAACAAGAAAACTTTGGTACGGAGCACAGGGATTTGGTTATCAAGTAGTTGGAACAAGCTACAAACAGTTCCTCAAAAACTGTGTCAGGTTTTCTAAAGAAATCCTTTCCAAAAGAACTGTCAAGGTGGCTTAAATCCTGATTTCAAAGAACAGGCAGCGTGTAAAACTCAGTGCTTTCAGACTTCTTCTGTTTGTTCTGCAGACTACAAGAGCTAAGCATACATTCTCCTGTTGGGGGGGAGAATATGTACCCTTTTCTCTGCCAAGGCAGAGCTGATATTACAGTTCAAGTAGACTTCCCTGGTTATTTCAGGTTAGGCCAGAGGTGCTTGCCTTGCTGAAACCCCTTGTTCCTTAGGAGATGCTCTGTGTGCTGTGTCTGGTGCTCTGCTGACCAGCTGGTGCAGCTGTGTAAAGGTGTTTTAGGATGGGTCTTTTAGTGCCTCAAATGTGTTCATCTTCTATTTAAAAGAAAAATACAAAACAAAAAAACAACTGCTAAGAGGGGCTGATGTTGCTTTTCTAAATGATGGGGTTTTTGTGGTTGGTTTTGGTGTTCTGGTTTTTTTTGCAGTTGATCTGATCTCTTGTTACATAGAAATCCTCATCTATGTATCCTTGGAATCAATTGCTGCAGTATTTCTGAGCTTCTGGCTGTTGGGTTTGCATCTGTGTTTCTCTTTTCCAGGGAAAAGAGGTTTTTGCTGTGTTTAAGAACACACAGGCTTGGAATCAGTATTTAGAAACTCCTGAAGTCTAACCAGTTTGTTAAATTAGCTTCCGCCTGTCTTAGAAACTTACTTCTACATCACTATTATTATTATTACTATTATATTACTATTATCTTAGTAATAGTATGTAAGCAACTGTATTGAAGTGCAGCAGTCCATAATACAGACAGCTATAAAACGAGGGGGAGGATTCTTACAGTGAAAAGGGGATTTGGGCGTGGAAATGTCAGTGTGGATTTGTCCCTCTGAAGTCTTTGCTCCTCTGTGGCCATTTCTCATCCCTCCACGTGATGTTCATACAGCAGATACTGGGAGATGCTGCAGGGAGCCCTGTAGCCTTCGCAGTGTTCCATTGGAAGAAGGATTTTCCTGCTTGGTGCCAGCATTAGCTTTAACTTCATCCAGTTTTGTCTCTTTGTTCTGACATTGTAGCAAGCTAAAGCAGTACAATTTCAATGAGACTTTTTTCCAGGTAGCTGTGACTTTAACAGTCAGAGGAATCAAAACTGCTTGAATAGGTGATTGTTCTTTAACTATTTTATTAATCCCTGTTGCTCCCTGCACCAGATGCTGACCCAGAGGTAACCATGGCAATGCTGCGCTGGATCTACACAGATGAACTTGAGCTAAGAGAAGATGATATCTTTTTGACAGAGCTCATGAAACTAGCTAATAAATTTCAGCTCCAGCTGCTTAGGGAAAGGTGAGTCTTGGTAAATGCAGTCATTATCCTTGAACTCTTTATCTTCGTTTGAATAGGAATAGGTTGACAGCTGCTAGCAGTTGGATACAGCTTTGGTTTCTTTCGAAGACTTGAGGTTTTCAGTAATGCAGCATGGCATTCAGGTGATCACAGGAAAAGGAGCTTTGTGCTATTGTTACACTGTAGCTGTTTCTCCTCACCGCTCTAATGTTTACTTTCCAGTTCTTCTTCCAGCCAAACTAATAACCCTAATTTGGCAATGAGAGAAAGTGGAGAGCAGCATGTTAATAACAAGCTCTGGAGTGCTGTAAGAGAAGAAATATTGAAATGCTAGGAAGAATCGATGACAGGTAGTGTGCAGTATGAAGCAGAATGGCTTGGGTTGAAAGGGGGGCCTCAAAGATCAACCATTTCTAGCCCCCTGTTCTGGGCAGGGTTGCCAACCAATAAATCAGGCACCAGATCAGATTGCACAGAGTCCCATCCAGCCTGGCCTTCAGCACCTCCAAGGATGGGGCACCCACAGCTCTCTGAGCAGCAGTGCCAGTGCCTCACTGCCTTCTGAGTGAATAATTTCCCCTAACATGTAAACTGCATCTCCACTCTTTTAGTTTAAAGCCATTTCACCTTGTCCTATCACTCTCAGACCATGTAAAAAGTTGCTCTCCCTCCTGTTTATAAACTGTTCTGGAAGGTTGTGGTGAGGTCTCTCCAGAGCCTTTTCTTCTCCAGATTGAACAATCCCAACTCCCTCAACCTTTCTTCATAAGAGAGGTGCTCCAGCCTCTGATCATCTCTGTGGCACTCCAACAGTGCCTCATTATTTTTGGGCTGATTTATATAATTCTAGAAGGGGGTGGCTTGCTGTCTTGAAAGCATGAGAGTGCTCTTACCCACTGGGTTAGTAAAAAGGCTGAGTGTATGCAAATGAAACCTCCTTGGGTTTTGTGCAACCTGAAGCTTTGAATTCGGTTAAAGATGAAGACAGTGATAATCTTTTGTCCAGGAGGTGGCTGAGGCTGCAGCAGTGCTTAGCATTCTTGCTGACATTTAATTGTCTCTCCGTGAAGCAAACTAAATTGGTATTAGTGCTTTTAACAAGTGTTTGACATCTGTTGGGCCAATGCTAAGAATGTCTTCAGGCTTTAGTACCTAAGTAGTTCTCAGCTGTTGCCTTGTCGCAGTTGTGTGGTGACAGGGGGAAAGCTGCAGTACAGTATGCTACTGGTCATTTGTAAATGTATTTGAAAACATCTATCAATACTTCCCTTCAGGTGCAGCCTAGATTGGAATCACTAGAATACTTACCTTAAAGGTCAGTTTGAGGTACTCGAGTTCTCTTCCTACAAACTCAGCTGCTGCCTTCAAACTGTGAAGATAATCTGATGGATCTACTATTAAACCTCATCCATTCTCCAAACAAATAGTTGTTTTTGGCAGGCCAGTTTCTATCTTCAGTGCAAGAGCTGCTTGTGTGATGCTGTAGTACTTAGGAAGTAGGGAAGGTGTTCCGGAAGCTCAGCTTGTTCAATTGGGAGAACTGTGCTGTTTTTCTTCACTGTCAGGTTCCTCCACTGTATTGTTATGGGAACTCAGCTTAGACAGGCTGCTTCCTAAATAAGAACCTGCTCTTCAGGAGCTGTCTTACAGAGCTTATGGTTAAAGTATGTTTATGCCAGGCGTTCTACTGACATCCAAGAGAAGAGTATCTAGAGCCTCGTAACAGCTTGAGGGGCTGCTTACTGAATGGCTTTTTTTCCATTTTGACAGATGTGAAAAAGGAGTCATGTCACTAGTTAATGTCAGGAACTGCATTCGTTTCTACCAGACTGCTGAGGAGCTGAATGCTAGCACTCTTCTGAATTATTGTGCAGAAATAATTGCTAGTCACTGGGTAAGTACTGATAGAAGGAAGCAAGAGGAAAAATATTGATAAGTGTAGAAATGTAAGCTGTGGAACTTTACTGTCTAACCTCAGGAATGTATCTTTGTATGCTGCCATTCAAGCACTTCAGTTGGGATGGGGATTTCCTGGATTTCTGGTACCTTTTGGTGACCAAGGCATCTGTCATCCTGAGCTTTATATGCTTTGCAAGGCAGTGTTGTTACATGTGAGTCATTTGATGCAGGAATAACTTTTCCCTTCCTCCTCTTTTTCAGTTACCTTTATTCCGTGCTGCTTTTGGCAGTACACTACGTAGTATTTTATACAATATTAAATCATAATTGTTTGAAACAATGTATGTGAAATGGCTCTTCCTCCAAGATTGTCTCTGGAGATGATGTTCATTTCACTCTCGGTGTGAATGTGTTGGTGGGGCAGTGGGGAAATAGCCTGTAGTCTGATGAGTTGTTCTGTTAGTTGGAAGTACTTTGCCATGAAAAGTCTCTTAGTTTTCTAAACATGGCACAAACCAAAGAGGTTCTGATAGGCAAGGGAGTTGTATTATAAAATATTGACTGAGCTGTTCAGAGGTTCATCCATAGTTGGTCTCTGTCTAGACGGGGTCACGAATCCCAGCCTTGCTTTTACTCCTAAAAATAATCCTTGTAAGAAAGAGTCAAGCCAGAGAAGAGTTTACTTTCTCTAGTGGGGGGAGCAGCAAGTGATCCTGCAGCTGACTTGGAAGTTTCACTTGCTCTGATATTTTGAGGAAATCGTGATTGCTTGTGTAAAGTCTTAGTCCTAAAAATAAGTCTTCTGGTCAACAGCAGACTGGTGCATGAAGGCTTAGGTATCTTTATCTAAAATATGCTGTGCAGACCTGCATCTGAACCTGTGAGTCAGCCACTGTAACTCCTTCTTTAGCTTCTGGCTGGTAACTTTTGACACTGCTCTGCCTGAAGATGAGGTTATTTCTGTTTAGTCAAATATGCACTGACTCAAACCAAAGGTGGTCTTCTGATGTTTTGTGTAGCTTCATTCAGGTACAAAGCTTCTGTGGAGATGTCGTTCTTCAGTAGGGTGGTTTTGTTTTTACAGAAAGGCTTATTGCTGACCTGTGATTTAAGTCTAGATAGAGAGTTAGTTTAGGAGCTAGGTGTTTATCTACTGTAGTGAATGGTAAACTGCTTGTTTTCTCTGCCTGTAGACAACAGGGATGGAAAACACCTCACTGTAACAGATCTTGAAACTAAAATGTAAGACTTCCTCAGTGTTTCTTCGTAGCCTTGACAGGCTCTCTTGGATTGTTCCTGCTTGTTGTAATGTCATGCATGTTATCAAAACAGTGCCATTAACTGAGCTTGCGTTGTGAACCTGATAATAACATGATGCAGTGTGCTGCTTATAAACAAAACAAAAGCATTGCTCAGCCTTTGCTTTTTTGTTATTCTAGGATGACTTGCGGAAAGAAGACTTCAGTAGCATGAGTGCTCAGTTGTTGTATAAAATGTTCAAGTCAAAGACAGAATATCCTTTGCATAAAGCTATTAAAGTTGAGAGAGAAGATGTAGTCTTCTTGTATCTCATCGAAATGGATTCACAGGTACAGCGAGACTAACTTACTGCCTTCAAAAATGTCATGTTTTAAATAACTGGTTTCTAACTGCTGGTCTGAGCACTATCTGTTTTGTAACTAATTCTCCTTATTTGCATGTTTATTATCACAGCTGCTTTTATGTCTGTAATAGTCATTGAGTGATAAAAGCTCCCTGAAGACATAATTAAGAAGTGATTTATGACAGTCTGTTGCATGCAAGATGTTTTAAATAAAATGCATTGCTTGGTAAACTTTGCTGCTTCGTGGCAGTTCCTGTGTAAGATGTGCTTACCTAAGTGCATCACTAGCATTTGGCATTAGAGGTGAAGGTCTGCCATTACAGTAGCTGGAATTGGCTGTTGAAATATTAGGTTGAGCTTTTGTTGTAACTTTGTAACTGAAGTCAACAGACTGAATTTGTGTTATAGCTTCCTGGGAAGCTCAATGAATTGGATCAGAATGGAGACCTTGCTTTGGATTTAGCCCTCTCCCAAAGACTGGAGAGCATTGCAACCACGCTGGTCAACTACAAGGCTGATGTAGATAGGGCAGACAGAAAAGGCTGGAGTCTGTTACATAAAGCCATTCAAAGAGGTAAGAAAACAGGATATGAAGCTTCTAACTTGCAGTAGTTGTAGTGTGAAGTATAGATTCTGAGATCTATTCCTGTCTCATTCCATGTTTGACAACCATAGTTAGAAAGCTGTAGTCACAGATAAACATCATCCTATCTGTTTTTGTTGAAACTAAAAAACTAATGCACTGGTGAAATAAATTGTATGACATCAAGAAGCAATCTAGTAAAGTGTTCTCTGCTGAAGGAAGAAACATAGGATGGGGTTCTGTTGTGGCAATCTGCAATGTCTTTTTGATGTACTGTCTCATTAAGCATGGACAACCTAGGTAAAAAATGAAGTTTAAGTCTTCTAGATCTGTTTTGAATGTTGCATCTGCTTCTTACTGATCACAGTTAACAGCAAGTACCTGGGGAAAGATGTGGAGCAGAGGAAGATGCTGTGCCAATCTAAGTATCTACAAAGTTCCAGCAGATAATAGGATGGTTATCAGTAGAGCCCAAGTACAACTGTGATTACGTTAAGCTGTTCTTCTACTAGTGTAGAAAATGCATCTTAGAAGAACTGGAGCACAATAGGGCTGCATTGCTATGGCTGCTGTGCTCTGAAGGCTTGGAGAAGCAGCATCTTGGCTTATGGCCAAAGTCTGGTAAAAAAAAATCTGTAGCAAGCACCCCGTGCTGCTGGCTGATACAGGGCTGTCTTTGGCAGCTCTGTCTGTCTCAGAAAGCCAAGCACAACAGGAACCCTACTGAGGACTGGACCTCACAGGTGTTGTGGTGCTACAAATAATTAAAAACATAAATCTCTTCCTAAGAGTCTGAAAGAACTTGCTACTTGAAGTAATTGGGGTTTTGTGAGCTCAATGCAGCTCACAATTTCTTTCTTTAATCTCTTATGTAACTAAATGGTTGCTGGTGTCAGATCCTGTGAATAAAGTTTCTGGAGCAGGATGTCTAAGCATAGGTCAGTGTTGTGGCTGCAGCACAATAAAGCACTGACAAAATTACAGCAGGCTGTTCTTCACACTTACAAATATTTGTTTCATTTCTGATGTCTGCTTTCAGTCTAAGCTAGAGGTCTGAGAATGAACAGCTGTTTTTCAGTAACAAGCTTCAATAAGATGATCACAGCTAACAGCCATGCTCTGGAAAAGGAACTAAGGCAAATCTTCTGGACTTGCCACGTGATTCTTACTTCTGATCACTGAGGAGTGGGGGAATGTCACATAAGGAAGTGGAGTGGTGGTGTGTGAATGGAATTTCTTTTTTTTTTTTTAGTGCTGGAGGTGATACAGCAGTACATATTACTTTTTTAGGCCAGCAGGTTTCTGTATTCACTTTTGCTGTCAGGATGGGCAACTTGTGAGTAAATGCCTTCAAGCCAGTGTTTGGAACAAGGGAAGCTAATAATATGCTGAAAGCATTCTCTGCATGTTGTTTTATGTCCAAGGCCTTGTGCACAAAAGTGGGCCTGAGTTCTGACTTCTGAGCAGAGATTTCTAGGACTGTCATGTGTGAGGAGTCCAGACTACTGAAGCCACTGCTTCATGTGTAATGGGGTTCACACTTTTAAGGGCAAAGGCTGCATGACTGCTTGTTTGTGTAGCAATACTGAACAGATAGTGACCAACTTCAGCACTCTTCTGTCTGCCTGGAATACTATCATTCATTCAAAAAATACATCTAGTCCTCAGCTTGCCTAGCTGAGCATTAAAGCAGCAATGGATTTGTCTTGATACAGACTCCAGCAAACTTAGGATGGCCATACCAGGTGAACAGGTGTGTGAACTTGAGTCTTCTGTAACCTCAGGGCAAAACACAAAGGAAAGAAGTTGTTACAAAATCTGAATCCTGGTTTTGCAGTCAGCTGTTCCTGAAGTTAGCTGTGGTAAGGCATTCTAAGAGCAGACCATTCTAGTGGTATCGTTGTATGATATAGAAGGAAGGAACATACATCTATTTTTCTTGATTTCTATAAAATGTACAATTTCCACTGCATCTATAAGTAACCTTATTTTTTCATGACAGGAGATAAATTTGCTGCAAACTTTCTCATTAAGAATGGTGCCCGTGTGAATGCTGCTACGCTGGGAGACCAGGAGACTCCTCTGCACCTTGTGGCATCATACAGCCCTAAGAAGCATTCACCTGATGTCATGGCAGAGATGGCACAGATAGCAGAATCTCTCCTACAGGCAGGAGCCAATCCAAATATGCAAGACAACAAAGGAAGGTAAATACTGGGTGGAGTCAAGTCTGCTAGCAGTTTAATTATCTATTAAACTAGTAATGATTATCTAAACACAGTCCACTGGGAACCTTCCCATATCTCAGCAAAGCAAAGATAACAGTGGAAGCAGGAAAGGTGAGGTTGTTACTTCAATTTGAGACCTACACTCAAAGCAGAAAGATATTTCAGGTTGGATAGTGCACTGTCATGATCGATTTCCCTATAGGAAGCTGGGGTGAGTTGACCTCTGGAACAGCTGGCTAACAGTTGTTTGCCTTTATTGGATCACTGAACAGTAAACTAAGTGAAGTAAGATGACAGCATTCCCAAAAAGCTGCTTCTTTGAAGCTCTGTCAGCAAAACTGAAATTATCTCAAAAAGCCGACGTTTTCAGTGTATTTACTTGATGTATAGAGTCTCTGCACTGCCTTAGAGGTTAAGTTGGTATGGTAAACGTCAATAAAATGGTGTAGAAGCTTCCGGGTGTGTTAGCTGTTCAATTTGGCTATGCTTTTGTGCTCTTTCTTTTAAGGTTATTTCTTGTGCTAATGTAAAGAGTTGCTTACTCCTAAATCAATTGGAACCATATCCTCTAAAAGGGCAGCTCGCTCTTTCTCTCAAGATGTATGTGAGCCCTTCCCTGGAGAGCACAGGTGATGGTTGGCCCCGTCAGTCTGTTGGGGGATGTTGAGAAGTGCGGGCAAAATCTTAAGTGCCTCACTTGCTGATGTAAGTGTGCTTTGCTCCATTTGCAGGACCCCATTACACATGTCAATTGTGGTCAGAAATGAACCTGTATTCAGTCAGCTTCTCCAGTGCAAACAGTAAGTTCCACTTAAGTGTAAAATACACTGAGTACCTACTTGAATGAAAGCATGAGAACTGGTTTAACAGCTCTTCTGGGCCTTTTTTGAATTACAGTAAGTCTAGCAATAGGCTAGGGATGCAGAAGCGTGAGGGCTTTGCCCAAACTGAGAGGTCAGAAGCCAAGCAGATTTGCTCAACTGTAAAGAAATAAACAGTATCTCAGTGTTTTTCTAAGAGAGCTGGAGGAAATAACGTACCAGTGTCTTAGTTTGTAGTGGAATCAAAAAGAATAATAATGTATTTGGACATTTTTATGAGCTTCATTTTCAGCTTGGATTCTACTTAAAGTAAGTGACTTCATAGGATGAGAAAACAGGATCTTAATCTGACTCAGTTTCCTCCATAGCTGAGTTTACAGTTCTTGTACATGACTAGAAAGAAGTCTTGCCTGTTTGATAAAGTTTGTGACAACCTGGATCTAGCAAGACCACATTTCTCATCAGAGTAATGAGCTTAAACTTTGTAGTTATTAAAAGATATCTTGCTTGTTTCAGAGTATTTACAAATTCTACTGTACTTCAGTTACTCCAGAGGTTTTTTTTTTTAAGTGAGCAGAAATTGTCAGTGAGGAATTGGATAAATGAGAACAGCACTTCTGACAGTTGAAATTTAAGCTTCATTGGGGCTCGCTTTAAGGCATAAGTTGGGGAACATTAACTCTTATTTTTAGACTAGACTTGGAGCTGAAGGATCATGAGGGAAGCACAGCTCTGTGGCTTGCAGTTCAGTATATCACTGTATCATCTGATCAGTCTGTAAACCCTTTTGAGGATGCACCTGTTGTAAATGGAACTTCGTTTGATGAGAACAGTTTTGCAGCAAGGTTGATCCAACGAGGCAGCAATACAGATGCTCCAGACACAGTAACAGGTAAAATATAAGTTTGTATTTCTGCATGGAAGGAAGGCTTGTAGGTTAATTGTGGTCCAAACTACTCTAGCCTATCCAAAAATTCAAAGAGTCTGGGGGACCTGAATGAACTTCCGACAGTTCTTGCTATGATATGAATGTATGGGTAGGTGGTAGTAGCTGCATCCGAGCTGGGACACTGAGTCCTAAACTGAGCTTGACGTGGAGGAAGTGGCAATGTTTGACTCTTTGCCAAGCCCTAACATCCTCTTTACAGTTTCAAAATGTAACAGTTAAATGGCAGTGCACATGACAGTCCAGCACTTCGAGGGAATGATTAATAGGTAGGATTTCCCTTGTTGGCTTCAGTTCTAACATGGTAAAGTAGTGAGAAGGGTTCTAGCTCCTTTTTAGTATCAAGGTATGGTTGAGACAGTATTCTCACGGTGTTCATGGTTTTTTCCTTAGGGAACTGCTTGCTTCAGAGGGCAGCTGGTGCAGGAAATGAGGCGGCTTCTCTCTTCCTAGCAACTCATGGAGCAAAAGTCAACCACCAAAACAAATGGGTAAACCAGAAAGACTTTCTGAAAATTTCCTTATCTCCCTTCAGAAATAATGTGGCAGAGTTCTCCTGTTGCTAACCCTAGCTTAAAGCAAGTTGGAACATCTGCTGAGCCTTCTGCAGTTTTTCAGATATTTACTAGTGATCAGGCAACTGTAATATAACAGTTGGTGCTGTTCAAGCAGACTGCTGGGTGTTAAGATGCTTTAACACTTCTTTTTATCCTTGTTGTAATCAAGTCCTTAATGTAAGTTAGCAGTGCAGCTGAATGTGCAGAGGAGCTTCAACTACCAGGACTTAAGTTTCTTTACACCCATTTGTGGGACAGTAGTTTTAAAGCTCCTATTCTGTTTTTTCAAGCTGTTAACCCAGTCCCCTTTTTGTTAAAGGGGGAAACACCACTGCATACTGCCTGTAGGCATGGCCTGGCAAACTTGACAGCAGAACTTTTGCAACAAGGAGCCAATCCAAACATTCAGACTGCAGAAGTGGCACCTGGTCAAAAGGACGCATCTTCTCCAACAGCAGAGAACGTTTATCTGCAAACTCCCCTTCACATGGCTATTGCTTACAATCACCCAGATGTGGTATCAGTCATCCTGGAACAAAAAGGTAGTGTTCTTCTGGTTCAAACTGTGTTGCTGCTTTAGCATCAAGATGTTATCTTAACTGTGTTCTGGCAAGCTGCTGATCATAGAATCGTAGAATCTTAGAATTGCTCAGGTTGGAAGAGACCTTAAGTCCAACCACAACCTATCCATGCTGCCCTAACTAACCACCCACTGCTAAATCATGTCCCTGAGCACCACAACTGAACGGATTTTAAACGCATCCAGGGACCAAGCATTCTTTGTATCTTGTTTGTGTAGAGCAATTAATATTGGTTAAAGAATTTTGTGTCACCTCCTTGTTAGAACTAGAAAATGAACTTGCGCTAAATCTGTTACTGACCTCTCCAGATTTTCTGCTGTACGTAATAGACTTGAACTAAGTTGTGTTCTGAGGGTACAGCTATGAGATCTTCATTCTCAGAGCTTTGTGTAAGCAGCTGCTTGGAAACAGAGATAATGAGGAAGGAGGTTCTCTTAGTCAGAAAGTTGGGTAGCTTTTAGTGTAAGTGTTAAATCAGGTGGCTTTGTCACTGCAGTTGACCATGTTAGGTTGTCCCAGGCAGTATCAGCAGTCATGGGAACAAAGTAACTTGCTCAGGAAGACCTCCAGCAAACTGAGTAAACTTCCTGCCCGCTTTTGCGGATGTGGCTTAGCAGTGGATTTTGGTATTAGGGGGGTGGTAGAACTTCATGACCTTAAAAGATCTTTTCCAACCTAAATTATTCTGTGGTACTTAAGAGTGTGACACAGACACGCCTGCAGCCTAGTCTGCAATGGCAGGTCAAATACAAGAATGTTAACAATGATTCTTTTTTTTCTTTTTTTCCAAGCTAATGCTCTTCATGCAACCAACAACTTGCAAATCATTCCTGATTTTAGTTTAAAGGACTCAAGAGACCAAACTGTGCTGGGATTGGCACTTTGGACAGGTGTGTGCTTATGAAACAAGATAGAAATTCCCTATGATAGAGAAGTTACAATGTGGACAAGATTATTTTGGGGACAAAACAGTCCTAAAACTGTTTATGGCCTGGCTTGTGCTGCTAATGAAAAGTTGTCAGGGAGAGCTTTGTTTAATTATTTAGCTTCTGAAATAATGTTCACAGCTGGCTTGCTGATTTCCATCCCGACAGCTTCAGTTGTTCAGTAGGGGATAGCTTTTGGAGCCTCTTGCCTGCAACTGTACTGTTTTATGGAACTGTACCACTCTGAACTGCCAGTAATTTTTGTATGCGTTCAGCATGTTGTCTTTTCATGCTTATTCCATGAAGGTCAGCATTACTGCATTAAGCAGCTTCTAGAACAAAGGGAAGATGAGATACTTTAGGTAGCTATGAGGTGTACTGGAACTTGGAATGCTGATTTAGGAGATGCTTTCTTCTGTGAAACAAGGGGGATGGTTTGTAGAAAAACAGGTAGTGTTTGCATCCTGATGACCCTTGAACTGTACTAGGATGGCTTGTGGATGCAATACCAAAAGCAAATGTGTTTGTTGAGCAGAAGTCCAAGATAGTATGAAGAAATATGCCAGTTGTGGATGAGGACATTTAGATGGGCAGAAAGAAACGGAAAATCTCTGCCATGTATCATTCCATGTTTTTTGTCTTTGTTATTCTTTGGAGAGCGAAGGCACAGCACTAATGATCTCTAACTGTTCAGGCATGCACACAATAGCAGCTCAGCTGCTTGGATCTGGAGCATCCATCAATGACACGATGTCAGACGGGCAGACTCTGCTCCATATGGCAATACAGAGACAGGATAGTAAGAGTGCACTCTTTCTGCTGGAGCATCAGGCAGATATAAACGTCAGGTAAGGTCTTCGCTGATGCAACACTGAACTGGATATTTAGGAGCAGGTGTAATGAGTGCCTTACTCATGAGTGAGAGCAGAGGAAGAGCTGCTGATCCAATGTCTGTGGTCATGGTGACAGAGCTCAAAGGAACAGCATGGGTTTATGTCAGGGGAGGGTCAGGCTGGGTTGTTGGGAAAAGGTTCTTCACCGGTGAGTGGTGGACACTGGAACAGGCTCCTCAGGGCACCAGGTGCCAAGGCTGCCTGAGTTCAAGGAGCACGTGGACAGTGCTCTCAGACAGAGGGTTTGAATTTTGGATGTCCTGCGTGAAGCCAGGGGTTGGATTTGATTATTGCGAGATATTCTGTAATTCTATATAAAGGCTTGAAGCTGATTTCAGATGACTTATTTGGCCCTTGTTACGGCAGTTCTAGTTAAAGCTGAGGGTTTACATATGTGAGCATATGATCTAAATATAGCTCCATTAGTCAATACATCCTCTTGAGGCTACAGTGGGAGGTTCCACCCTGATCCTAAGTAGAACATAACCCTCTGCAACAGAATGTCAAGTCCTTAGAGACGTGGTACTGAGCTTCTGTAGTCTGTCTCTTTTGCCAGCTTGTTGGAGTGACGTGTTCTGTCATCTGAGCTGGTTAGATGTAGTCCAGCAACAGGATTCACATAAAACTTGCCCACAGGTATCTGTAGACAAGCTGATATTATGACATTTATGTGCCCACGTGTGACTCACAGGCTGTCTTTGAAATTTGGCCAGCTACACCTCATGAGTGTCATTGGGACAAATTGCCTAATACAACTGTTCTAACTTCAGTGCCTTCTGAGTGTTTGGAGTGTTAAGGCAGTACAGATAAACCTGTTCCCTTCTGTGATAGTAGGCAAAGGGAACTCTGTTCAACCAGTGACTGTAATTAAGGCAATGGAGAGAACTCTGAGCTAAGAACACCAGCGAGTCTCAAACTTCAGAAATCTGGATAGCTGCTCTGAAATATCTAACGTGGTGGGATTGCTTGACTGAACACAGTCTTACTGCAGCAAGAATACACAAATGTTGGCAATAATTCTTATGTCTGTAAATTACTGTAGCAGAGATCATCAAATTCTTTAATGATGCAGTAACATGGTTTAAACTGCACCTATTTCAGAACACAGGATGGAGAGACTGCATTACAGCTGGCTATAAAAAACCAGCTCCCTCTTGTGGTTGATGCTATTTGTACCAGGGGAGCAGATATGTCTGTGCCAGATGAAAAAGGAAATCCTCCTTTGTGGCTTGCCTTAGAAAATAACCTGGAAGATATTGCGTCAACTCTGGTAAGACTGTTAGTTGTTCATTTAGCCTTGGTGCTGTGTATCTCCCTGGCAACGAAAGGCTCACAAACAGAAATTAAATCAAATGCATGCAATGGAGTTGTCCTATACTACATCACCTCTAGAGGTTGTTTTGTTTGTTTGTTTGTTTAATTTTAATTTCTTTCTTCTTGGAAAGTCTTTTATAAACACTGTAACCTCTGCAGCCGAATACCTCACTGATGCTATAATTAAAGAAAAAGAATAAGTTATCTGGATTCCTAATGCTGGAAGACAAGGTTCTGCTAAAAATATTAGTTTGTAGCATACCTGGCTTGTATAATAATCATCTTCCTGGATAAAACCTTGTGTATTTGCTTTAAAGTATGTGGTACTTTTTATTGAATCTTAGTTCTATCAAGAATGCCTTTTAAAGGCTTATCTTAACTGTTTTAAGACCAGATTCTATTCAGGTATAGTGATCCAGGAAGAAACTTGCTCAGAGATGTATGGAGATTTACTTAGTAAGTTTCTTCCTGGACCACCTATGGCTGCATAAAGGCTGGTCTTGGAAGGAGTAGAATTAAGTAGATTTTATTACGTTTTCTTCATAAGAAAGAGGGGTACTCAAAAAGTTTGTCTTTGATATCCAGTTATTGTCTGCTCAGTAGGGACAAGAACTTAAAAGCTGTGCTGTTTAGCTGCAAAATGCATCTTGCAGCTGTACTTGGCCACTTGTGCTGGCGTTGAGTAAGCATGCTTACAGAGCCAACACTTAAACTGCTTTTATATAACGCTGCAAATAGCTTGTAAAATGGTGTGGAACAAGTCTTACTGAAGTGCCCCACTGCTCAAGTGGTGCTGGAGAAGGGAAATACAAATATCATGCATGCAGTTCCACAAAAAAAAGCATTACCTTTAGGCTGTATAGCTGAATGTATTGCAAGAGAAGGAAGCAGGCCAGACTTTTAAAGGCAGCTGCTGATGTTACTTGAGTTGGTTTTGGTGCTTTGAATTGGTCATGAGGAGACAGTGACTTCACTTTCTAGCAAGCTAAGAAGTATCTGTTCAGAGTACTGTGAGTTAGTAGTATCTGAATTGTTAGTAAATGCTGCCTAATGAAGTATCATGTACATGAGGCTGGAAGACATTAAATAGCTTCATGAAATTGTCACAAGGACAGATAAGAGATCTCGAATTCTACCTCTGTGGGTAATATTTCAGAAACATCAGTCGAGGACTGCGTAAAGTAGGAGTGTGCTGGAGGCAGAACAAACTTCATTGCCTTGCTGTGCTTTTCCTTCCAGGTGAGACATGGCTGTGATTCAACCTGTTGGGGGTCAGGACCAAGTGGTTGCTTACAGACTCTTCTTCACAGAGCTATTGATGAAAACAGTGAACAAGTAGCGTGCTTTCTTATTCGCAGGTCAGAACCCCTTCCTAAAATAAAAGCTTTTGAATGTGCTTGTATTTCCTTTCTTGCCATAAACTATTTTGAGTCAGTAACAGGTGTACACTTAGTTAGACTTGTGATGAATAAGTGGTACTTAAGGGAGCTTTACTACTCTTAGAGACATATTTCTGTTATATAAATTATTGTATTCTTGATGACAGAAGTCAGATTCAAACCAGAAGCTTGTCTTTACAAAAGATGCACCAGCTAACACTAAATCAGCTCTTGTAGGAATCTTTCTTACTTCTGTTTGTCTGGGATAAATTTACTGACCGTCTTGTGCTCTTCTTAGTGGCTGTGATGTGAATAGTCCCAGAAAGCCAGGTCCCAACGGAGAAGGAGAAGAAGAAGCTCATGATGGACAGACACCCCTACACCTGGCAGCCTGCTGGGGTCTAGAGGAAGTGATTCAGTGCCTTTTGGAGTTTGGTGCCAATGTCAATGCTCAGGTATGGATTAAAATGGTGCAGTTTCTTTTGAAGCTGATTCTTCTAAGGTCATTGTAGTGAAAATGAACATTCCTCTGCTGTATATTTTGCTTCATAGAAACAGAATCCCTTCTGTTATGACTAAAGTAGTGCAACGACTGCCTGCAGTTCTGCTTTTTTCCTGTCCATTGTTACCATGGCTATTGTTCTTCTATGCACGTGGTCAGTTCTGTCAGGAAGTCTGACTGAAGAAAAATAGTGATGCAGAGAACTTCCTGTAGTCCAAGGGTTGTCTTTTTTTTTGGTGCTTTTTTATTGGTTTGTGGGGTTTTTTTTGGTGTGTAATGATCTGAATTCAACTCATCTGCCCAGAGTGTGAATGGAAGGCAGGAGCAGGGCTGTATTCTGCAGCAAGTAAGCAGTAGATCAGCTAAACTGTAAAACTCTGGAGTATTTGATTCCATTGGTTTGTTTGGGAAACATTTTTTATTAAGTAAACTGAGGTGACACAATTGTGAGCTACACTTCTTAATTCTTGATCACGCAGTAATCCTTAAGTAAGAGCATGGCAAATGGCTACCAGTGAAATGAATGTGCAGCATTTCCAGGTCCTGATGCTGTTGAGGGACTGAACAAATAGTTGCAAAGCTGCCATGGCTGTAAACTAATTATTGGTGCAGACAAATGATTAAACACTGATTTTGATAAGGCTTCTTGTTTTGCGTAACAAAAACACAAGTGCCAAACACTTGTATTTTTCAGTGAGTGAACTTCAAAGTGTCTAGCTTCCTTCAGAAAACTTAGCACCAGTGCCTGAGTGTCAAGTTAGGGAAGCATCTGTACTATTGAATCTGAGTATATAATCCATTCCATACTGAATGGAAATGATACTTGAGGTTTGCATTAGTTTGTATGTTGTTCCTTCAGGTGGAAATTTGTTTCTATGTATTGTTACTATTACAAGGTAAAACGTAAACTAATACTAGTTTGAAAGCATTCTCTTGCAATGCCTGACTGCTGCCAAGAATGTTCAGAATGCCCCTAAAATGTTTGATTGCTGTCAGCAACTTAAAAAGCTGTGTAACTCAGAGGATTTGGAGGAGCAAGTAACAATTTGCTTCACTTACACTATGGATATTAGCTCCCACTGCAAACGTTTTGTGTCCCAGTTGAAGTTTGAGTATGTCACAAGCACTAAACTGAAAAACTTCCTTTATTTTTCAGAGATGAGAAGGATTGTTGTTCCTGCATCTTCATATAATAAACTTCCTGGTTTCCTTCTAGGATGCAGAAGGAAGAACTCCAATTCATGTTGCCATTAGCAACCAACATAATGTTATAATTCAGCTTATGATTTCACATCCAGAAATTAAGCTAAATGTACGTGACAGGCAAGGAATGACTCCCTTTGCATGTGCTATGACCTATAAAAATAATAAGGCAGCTGAAGCAATCTTGAAGAGGGAGCCAGGAGCTGCTGAGCAGGTAAGCTGGAAGGATTTAAAGCATGCTAGTCTTCTTGCTGCTGTACAGGTGTGTATCACCAGCAAGTTCTGCTTTATCCTTTTTTTATCCTTTTTGAGGCTTTGTATGTAGCAGTGTTTCCTGGAAGCCAGTTTTCTATGGCTGGATCTATTAGGAACTGTAATGTGTGCCTGCTTTGTGTGAGTGAAAACATCAAAGCTTAGTCTTTCATGAGACCTTCTTGTTGGTACTGAGCTGAGGTATGTACATAAGTATAGAAAGAGAAAACTTATCTATTCGTGTTTTGTTTCTGTAATGGTGCATCACAGTGTATGTGACTTCGCCCTCCTAAAGAAAGCCAAAACAAACTCTGTCCTAAAATAATTGGTCAGTAGATGCCCAGCTGAACCATAAAACCTCCAGCTGTATCTTCAGACTTGTAGTCTGATACTTTAGGCAGCTGTTGAGGGACTTTGTCCTATGCTGTAAGTTTAATTACTTGTGACTAATACAGTGCTCACATTTATACACCTGAAACATGGATACGTATACAGCAAGTTTTAAGCATGCTTTAATATCAGCTTCAATTAACAAAATTAGCCAAAATTAACAACGTGCACCTGATATTTAGTCAAAACTCAAACACAGTTTGCATCAGTGTGGCAGAATTGCATGTTGCTTCTTTCTGCATTGTTAACTGCCGGACTGCCTCAAGTTAAACTCAGTTCAGTGGGACAGTCCTTAACTGCTGCCCCATGTGAACTACGACAGCTGGCTCTTATCTGTAATGCTCTCCAGTGTGGTCAAGACACCGTAAGGTTAAACTAGAGATGAAGTGGTCTGAAGCAGACTAGAGTCAGTGTATGCAACTGATAATTTCTTAGTTCAGCTTACTTCATAGTGACATCAGTAGTTCTGTAATGCCAAGCAGCTAAAGGAACAAGACTAAAGTCCACCTTGGGCAGAGTGAGCAAGTATTGCATCTCTTGGTGGAATTGTGTTCTACAGAAGTGACAGCTGTTATGATTTTGTGCTCTTTCTTCTGCAGGTAGATAATAAAGGTCGCAATTTTCTGCATGTTGCAGTTCAGAACTCTGATATCGAGAGTGTGTTGTTCCTGATAAGTGTACAGGCGAACGTAAACTCTCGGGTCCAGGATGCTTCTAAGCTAACACCTCTCCACCTGGCAGTGCAAGCTGGCTCAGAGATCATTGTGCGTAATCTGGTACGTATTGGGGAGTTGTTTTCCCCATCTGCTTGAAATGTTTGTTCCCCCTTAATGCAGATTGCTGGAGAAGTCAGGTGAAAGTGGTGCTACTTCTAAAGCAGAACTCAAACTTACATAAGATTCACTTGGCTCAGATTGTCAGCTGAGCTGCACTGATGCCTTTGTGTGTGAGCACGTTTGATTTGCAGCTATCATTAGGTAATGTGGCTCAGTTTAAAAGAAGAACCTTACCTTGTATTTGCTGCGGAGCAGAATGTGTACACAAGTTGCAGCAGCTTGGTGATAGCGTTTTTTACATATAGGGTGGAGGCCTAAAAGTATCTCTGTGCAGTGAAATTTTGTGCACTTCATTCACAGAAATTAACTATTGGCACATAGCCCTGGAAAACATCTTTGAACATATTCCTTCTTGCATCTTTGACAGCTGCTTGCAGGTGCCCAGGTGAACGAACTGACAAAGCATCGTCAGACTGCTCTTCACTTAGCAGCACAGCAAGATTTGCCCACCATTTGTTCAGTCCTTCTGGAGAATGGAGTAGACTTCGCAGCTGTAGATGAAAATGGAAACAATGGTAAATTTCTGAAGTTTCTTAAGTAGATGTACAGAACTTCAGTAGGCTTGCTAAAATCTCAGTGGTAGAGAATGGCTCATGTTGAATGGGCTCACTTCTCAAGGATGAAAAAAGAAGGAAAGTCCAAGGAAACAAAGTTGGTGGGAGTTCTGGAGAAGGAAGGTGGGAATGCAGAGAAGGAGTACTTTAGTTTATCATGGTTGGCATTGAACGGTTCAAATTCTTGAAGCTTCTCTCCTATTTTTCAGCTCTTCATCTGGCAGTGATGCACGGCCGTCTGAACAATATCCGGGTCCTCCTCACAGAATGCAATGTAGATGCTGAAGCCTTTAACATTAGGTAACTAGTGTAGTGTAATAAGCCTCAAAAATTGTTTTTTAACAAGTGTGCAGGTGTCATGAGACACTATAGCATGGATGGATATGGGAAGGGAGTGTCCCATTCTACCCTGTGCTTGTGTGGTCTCTCCTCAGGTACTTCATGCAGTTCAGGGCACCACAACATATGAAGGACATAAGTCTACTAGAGTGCCTGAAGGAGGGCAACAAAGGTGCTGGAAGGTCTAGAAGGCGAGATGTATGAGGAGTGGCTGAGGGCACTTGGTTTGCACAGCTGAGGGAAGGCCTGGGGGTGACCTACAGCTCCTCACAGCAAAGCAGAGGGGCGGCACTGATCTCTGCTCTCTGGTTACAGTGACAGGAGCTGAGAGAACAGCGTGGAGCTGCATTGGGGAGGGGCAGGCTGGAGTTAGAGAAATGTACTTCACTAAAGAGCAGTGGGCATGGAACAGGCTCCTCAGGGCAGTGGGATGGTGTTGAGCTCTGGAGCTCAAAGGTGTCTGGCCAGCACTCCCAGACGTGTAGTGTTTGAAATTAGGGTGCTCATGTGTGGAGCCAGGGGTTGATCCTTGTGGTTCCTTTCCAACTTGGGATATTCTGTAGTTTTATGATTCTATAATCAAAGCCAAATATATTGTTTTGTATTTTTAAACTGTTGCTGTGAAGTACTGAACTACTGCAGTGTTGTGTATAAGCAGTGTAGAAAACAACTTCCTCTTCTTGGCATGCATGAAGTATGTAGTTGTGCATGATGTACTGAGTTACTCAGGTTTAGCTTTGTTTCATTAAGTTAGCTTGTTTCAAAAATTAGTTCGGAATCAAACAAGTGTAGTTACAAGCAGACTTTGATTGGGATAATAAACTCTTCTCCCTAGAGGCCAGTCACCAATGCATATTTTGGGACAATATGGGAAAGACAATGCAGCAGCCATCTGTGACCTCTTCTTGGAGTGCATGCCAGAGTATCCTCTAGACAAACCTGATGCTGAAGGAAACACAGGTAGGTGAGACTGAACAGCTGTTGAAGTTGAAAGTCACTCAAGTCACATTAAGCTGGACTAACAGGTGGTAGTACAGTAATTACACAGTAAAATTTAAACATTGCCCTGAAACTGAAGATCTTACCTTTGTATTGAGCAAAATAATGAGATTTCCATTCTGTTGATGCTGAAGCATCTGGCTTTTATTTTCCAGTGCTCCTCCTGGCATATATGAAGGGAAATGCCAACTTGTGCCGTGCAATAGTGAGAGCTGGCGCTCGTCTTGGAGTTAACAATAATCAGGGAGTCAATATCTTCAACTACCAAGTTGCTACAAAACAGCTTCTCTTCAGATTACTGGGTAAGTACTGCTTGCTACAGTTGGGAAGTGGTTTGGCTTAATTTGAGATGCCTTGGTGGAAGTAAGAGCACTGGGCACTGAATTTAGAAGCACTAATTCTAGAAGGGCTGAACTTCTGAATGTTCTGATGCTCTCAGTGAAGGATAGAAATGCTCATTTTCTGATGATAAACTGAAAAATTGCCCAACGAAGCCTTGTCAATCTTGTCCATTTTTCCAGAAGGGTAATGTTCAAGAAGAATGCTGGCTGGTGTAGTGGTCTGATGTAGCTTAAAACTCAGTGCCACTTTATAACTTGTGCTGTATTCACTGCAGTGACTATATATTTTCAATAACAATTTAGTTGTCAGCTAATAATAATAGTTAATTCTACTAAATGCCACCTAAAACTGTGGAAAAAGTTATCTTAACATTGTGGTATACTCAAGAGGTGTCAAACATGTTTTACCTCTACATTTTTACCTCTAACAGATATGCTGACAAAAGAACCTCCCTGGTGTGATGGCTCCAACTGCTACGAATGCACTGCCAAATTTGGAGTCACAACAAGAAAGCATCACTGGTAATGTGTGACACATCTTGCTGTGCTTACAAGGAAGCAGATTTCTATTCCAAATGTAGCTAGTCTTGTTCCTTCTGGTGCTTTAGGAAGCCTTCATTTTAACGTAGGTGAATAACCAGTAAACCATTTGAAATATTCCACTAGGTTAGGTTGCTCAGATCTGACTCGTGGTCTGGTTAAAATCATATCATAAGCAGTTAATGCACTTAGACTCTCCTCAATTTGCTGGAAGTGAGAAGTCGTGTCGAAGTTAACTATAGCAGAAGATTCCAGTGCCTATATTCATTAGTGGGGCTGACTTACTCTGAAAGAGGTGACAAAAAGTAGCATTTCAATTGCTGCTCTACCTGCTCCAGTGACGTTATCACTGTGAAAGGACATCGAGCGTGAAAGCCCCCGTATTCACTGAGAAAGAGCTCACTTCTGTCCTACCACTTTTCTGTCAACAGCCGACACTGTGGACGCCTGCTCTGCCATAAGTGCTCAACGAAGGAGATTCCTATCATAAAATTTGATCTGAACAAACCAGTTCGAGTTTGCAACATCTGCTTTGATGTCCTGACTCTGGGAGGAGTTTCCTAGTATGCTGTGGAAGTAAAGGGATTTCCAGTCTGTTCCTGACAGCAGCTCTGCTTACAAGTCCTCTGGATAGGGAAGAGGAGGCCTATACATGTCTTCTGCAATAGACTGAACAAATTAAGGACCCTGTTAATGATATATTCTGGTGTAAATGACTTTGTATGACTGTAAATGTGTTGGGCTGTGATAGACTTCACTAGGAATTCGAGTGGATTGTTGAAACCAAGTGACAAAATAATTTAGATCTTCTTCTAGTTGCAGTTGGGTGTGGAAGCTAAAGGCTGGTGTTTTGAATTGACGTAAAACAGGTCTGTCCTTGAGATGGTGCTTTGCACTGAGCAACTCTATTAAGTCCTGTTGCTTTCAGGCTGCTTAGTAGAGATGGCATTAAGTTTCAGGGTAACCAGGTATCTTTCTTTGCTTTGTCTTAAAGATTAACTTTCCCTTTCTGTAGAGAAGACTTGTGAAGCTAGACTGAGCTGTTACAACCACTGTTCATTTCAAGAAACTCTTCAAAAATGGGAGTTAGTCCTAAGCATAGCTCAATAATTGTGGCCTTACAACAGAAAGCTTTACATCTGATGCAGAGCAGTCAGAATTGCAGATCCACATCTTGATACCTCCTCATTAGTGTTAGCATGTTCAAGAGAAGTGCAAGACTGTTTTAGCCAGAAAATACTCTTGCTCATACCTGTTAGAGCTGTCAAAGCCTACTTTGTTGCACTTTCCTATCTCCATGACTAGTCCTTCCAATTCATGAAACTCGTGTAAATGACCTTAAATGCGCTGAAGGGCCGAAGCTTCTGCTAAATGAAGAAACACTAAAGCTGGTTACGTAGTCTGAGTCGCCGTACAGCAATAAATGCTGAAGTGCATTATGAATTCCATGAGGGAGAGCGGCCCTTTCCTTTGGTTTGGAGACCCTGGTTGACTGCTGCAGGAGAGGCAGTAAGCTCAGAAGGTGCTGTGTCTCTGGGTCCAGTCAGAGCAGGATTGCCAGCCAGTGGGAGTGTATGTGGAGGTTTCCTGTAATACAAAGCCTCTGTTGTTGAGGGAAGGATTCTGAACTGGCAGTGGAGGGCCAGGCTTCTGGGTTATGCTGCAGTATTTTAATCTGAGCTGGTCATGTTCTCTTAAACATGCTGAATCTGTGAAATGCTTATGCCACATTGTCTAGGAAACCAATCTGCTAATAAACAAGGTTGTGGTTTGGCAGGCAAAGGCTTCAGTCAGAAGAAAATGTGTGTTTAAGCAGAACTGCGTGCCATGCTAAGGCTTTCTTCATCCTAAGAGATCAATCTAGTTTAGACTGAACTTGACATTCCTCACCTCTGTTCCATGGACTGGCACGTGTTTACTTAAAGACTGGTAAATGGAGTGTTTGATATGGAGATGATGGTGACACACTGCTCTAAGAGTTAGATGAGGTGATGAACCAGACTGCTGCTTTTATAGGGGACTTGCCTGAGGCTTTTTCTCAATTTTGTACAAGAAATGATGGGGAGGGTATAAACACTATCATTTGCACAGTGAGTTTCACACGGTCTCACTTGATCTGCACTTTGATCTTCCAATATGCATATAACTGGAATCTCACTCTTTCAACACTAGAAAAGAGTAATGGATGATGCAATACAAATTTCCCTTACTGTTTTATGTCTGCTGCTGGCATGTTCCAGTAGAATGGCCTGTGTAATGCAAATGGTCTGTGTAGCACCATTCCTAATATAAATGGTACATTTCTGGCATAATGTCAGTTACATTTTATGCTTAGATGAATGAGGTGGGAGATGATGGTGTCTGAAGCTTTTAACTGCACGCTACAGCTTGTTGGAATAGATTGTGGAAAGCATTTTCTAGTCAATGTCTTTCTGTGCTTCAAAATAACATTGATTGCAAGTCTCTGGCAATGAAGGGTAACAGACTGCTGGAGAGAGTGCATTAGACTACCTGACTGCAGTGCACTGCATGTTATCATGATAGCTTCTCTCCTGGCTTTGAGCTGCAGACTTAAACATTGTGGTAGAGGAGTGTCCTAGGGCTGCAGCTGGTGGACTTAATCTAAATTGAAAAGCTCCACAACATTTAAGTGCTTTAGCAATTACGTTTCACCTTTTTGGTGACTTCCCTGATGGAAGAGTTAGGAGAACAGGGATTCTATTCCAACAGGATAAGCAGCTGTTTAAATATTTTTTTAAAAAGTCTTAATGAAAACTCAGTTAAACTGAACGTAAGGTTAAGACTGGCTAGCTGCTCTTTTTCTGTAAGCAGAGTAAGAAGTAGGACTGCCTGAAACTTTAGGAAGGATCTGGGGAACTGTACTTACTGCTCCGTTTGCCCTTTCCAGCCAATATTCTACCAGCTTGATCTTTCCTACTGAAGTCTGCGAGCCAAGTTCTGAATATGGATAAACTAATACACAGCCTGAGACATTCATTTAAATTAAATTCAAAGCAACTAAATACAGCAAATTTGATCATTTTTAAAGTGCCTTTGTGATAGTTTCCTTACAGCCAACTCTACGTAGCTTTCTGCCGGGGTTAAAAGGGAAAAGCTGACAACTTGAACCAAAATCCCCGTTCAGTCCTCATGTAGTTCAAACTTCAGCTCGAGACGTTGGCCTCACCAAGCAGCTGGTGGGGCTCAGTCCTTTACGCACTCTGCATAGCATTGGTCTGAAACATCAGATCTCAGATTCTTTTGGAGTTTTGCTGGCAATGCTCCACTGCAGAGGAGAAACTGTGAATGGAGGCACTTGGTAATTTTGTAGTGGTCAGCACATTTCTATCTCCGTCAGCAAACGCGCTTCCTTTTTGTAGCATCCTGCAGTTGTGACCAAAAACCCCACCCCTCTTCCACTGCTATCTGTGGTATCTATTAACTCGAGGCTTGAGTCTGCCAAGGATTGAACAGAAGGGTACAGAGAAAAGGTGCCCCTGGGAAGCAGTGCTGTCAGAGCAGGCTTTGGGCACTTCAGCAGGGCTGCATGGAAAGTCTGTGATAGTTCATAGTGCAGCTTTTTGTTCCGAGTCTGGATTCCTTCTGACTGTGGTCATCCGGCACTTTTATACAAGCACAAAATGTGGTCTGGCTTCAGCTTCAATGTATGAATCTCTTTGAAGGTGTAATCACTGCTTTGCACCACTAAGTGGAGTGAGAATGTTAGCGTTAAAGGTACTAACAGAGCTGCTTGCTAAATTTGACAGATGCCTTAATGACTTCCTGTGCTGGAGATCAATGGCTCATCCAACTTCTCACACAGTGCTTCTAAATTAACATGCAACGACATGGGAGGCCCAGGCTGGATTTTTTTCTTAGTAGGCAACTCCTTTTTTTTTCCTTTAACCAGCAGAGTTTGAATACTGCAGCAAACTTGGTTAACTCAAAGCTTGTATGAGCAATTTAAACAGGTAATTGAACCTTCTAGCCTCTGTGAAATAGAAAAGGAAGTCTTACAACAATGGCATTTTATCTGCGGTGTTTGTCTGGAGTCATTGTAAAAATGTATTTTTCCAATATGCATTACTTTGTTGTGTAATAATTCTACTTGTAATAAAATGCATAACTAAATAATGCATCATGAGGTGGAGACCTTGCTGAGAAAGTATTTTCTCTCGTGGAGGCAGCTGCCCTGCTTTGAGCTGCTGTTACTGACCACGAGGACATCCAGGGTTGTAGGAATTAATTGGGCATGGCAGTTGATTCTCTGCAGTTGTCCTAGGTCTCTGTTTCCATGTTGTGCAGTTGTTACAGTCTTCTTTTGGCTGACGAGGCCTGGTGTTCTCCTACTTCGTGCTTCGTGTAAAGCTTGATTGCTTTACAGTAGACTTATCTATAGCTCTTGTAAAACTAAGCCCTAACTTCCTGCAGGCCAGAACTGCTCAGCTCAGATGCACTTACATGGACAAGCAGGGCTGAGCTGACTCTCACATACTGTTCGTGCACTGTCACATACTGGCAGGCACCTTCTCTCTCTCACTGGAAGAGCGTGCAATTGCTGCAGCTTCACTCCAGAAAAAGCAGTGGTGAGACCAACCAAAGCCATTTTGAGATTGTGATGCATTAGGCTTAATTAATTTTAAAAAGTGCAGCTACCAGAGATGAGTTGTGAGCTTGATTAACTGCAGTCTTTCTTTACTTCATCCTGTTTAATTGTTTTCCCCTTCACAGGAGAATTTAGTTGAGGTTTTGAATTAGGATAGTAGAAACAATATGATTTTCTTGGAGCATTTCATGGAGTCTCCTTGTTGGCCTTAATAAATGACTCATTCCTGGGGCAAGACTGAAACTTTTTCCCCTTGTCTTTCCAACTAAACCAAGGAATAAGCTGTGAATTAGTTTTCCAACCTGCCAAGCAACACCACCAGTTTCTAAAATCTGCCTTGCTTTCTTACAGCAGCTTACTGACTTTTGTCTAGTTCTCTAGATCAAGTCCATCCCCTCAGCATTTCAACACAGTATTTGCAAGGAAGAGCAGTTTTAAGGATAAAGCATGATGAAACCTGCTTGGAGGCTGCATAGCTGGTGCCTCCAGTAGGAATGTAGCTTCTCAGACAGATGGGAACTCAAAAAATATTCTAGTGTTTAATAATTTGGAATTCTGAAACTTTTGAAGTTGCTTTTAAAGGCACTTATCCCTTGATTCAATCGTAATCTGATTGAATTGTTGAGGGTAATTTGAGGTCACCTGTGCTGTTGACCTCTAAATACAAGTCCCTGCTGTAAGGCCTGTGTCCAAAAGTAACTAACAGGCTGACTTCTGTAATGCTTCCATTGAAGTGAGACAAGGAAGCACTGCCTTGTAGCCCTTCCTGCAGCTTTTGCACCGCTTTAGTATGGATTGTTGCAGAAAGCAGTTTAGTCCAATCCCAAAGCTGGCACAAGCCTGGGGCAGCACTTCAGTTCTGGAAGGACAGCTGAGGAGCTGAGCAGTGCGATGGCTCTGCTGCCATCTATCTAGAGAAAACTTGCATTGCTGAGCAGTGACAGCTTCCAGCTCTGCCTGAAAGTGGTGCAGGGGACTCTTCTTACAGAGGGTAGAGGAAAAGAAATAACAGAACCAGGTTAAAAGCAAAACAAAACCACCAAGTATCAAAATAAGCATAAGTTTAAATTGCTGTATGGTTCTCATTCATGGTAGCTGTAGCATCACTGAACACAGTAAGTGAAAAGTGCTGCAACACGTTCCTATTGTTGCTGCAATTAAGTGATTATTTTTGCTTTTAATGAATGTTGCTGAGCCTCCTGTAATGCCACCAGTTTATTAATTAATTAGCTCCCTGGGGTTTTCTTTAGGAGTGGTTATAGCTCAAAAGCCTTCGGAGCTTATAAATGCTTCCCAGCTTTTTATAAATAGGTGGCAGCTGCCTTCAGAACTGGCACAGCTCTGCACTAAGCTGTGTTCATTGTTGGGCTGTAGTTAATCCAGGTGCCTTCTGAGGCTGCAGCTGCTCCAATAACCCATTCTCACAGTAGCCTCTAGGAACAACTGCAGCTGCCTCCCCCCCAGCCTGCACTCATAGCTCCTAGCCCCCCTGTCCTTTGCAGCCCTACACAAAACTGGTAAGATTTGCCTTGTTCTTCTGGAATTAACAAAATGTTATGGATTTTGACAGCTGTGGTGAAAGATGCACATGTTTTAAGTGAGCTGGGCTTTGTGAGGGTGGATCAAGGTTACAGTCTGATGGACACGTAACAAACAGGAGATAATAAACCAGAATGGAGACAGGCAAATTACATCAGGATGGTCACACTGTATGTAGATTTTATTATCACCTAGTTCAAACTGCAGGGCTGGGTAGCTTTCAAGTAGTGAATCACCAAACAAGGATGGTGAGGTCAACTTTGAGCAGCAATCCTCATAGGTGGTGTCCATTATCTTCTTTGCTCAGTATCTAATACAAACATGAAATAAGGAAATGTAGCTCTGACCTTTGCCTTCTGTATTCATGGATCTGATAAGCAGAGCTTGTATACGAACTGCACAAGTTCCTGGATGCTACACACTGCAATTGTAGGAGAAAGTCAGGCTTCTCCCTGCTGCTTTTACATCCTTCAGAGCAAAGCAGTTGTATGGGAAGGGGCAGTAGCAGTAAGAGACTTCAGGTGACATTGGAGGATTGTGCATAAATTGAAGTCAGTGATGCTGCTGCCATTGTTGCTTGCTGCCTTAAAGCACAACACCTTGCGCTCACCACTGAGCACACAAACATCTATTTCCTGGCTGTACAAGAAATACATTTTTAAGCGTAGCTCAGGCTGTGCATCTTACAGTTTGTCACCAGATGTAAAAATACTGTGGGGCAAAAAGCACTAAGTGCCAGTTTTTTAGCCAGTACCTTGGCTCAAGTGTTTCTTCTTCTCCCACCTCCATCTCCACACGTTAAAAGTCACAGAACGTGAACTGCCATCGCTCCCTTTGCACAGACAGACGGGAGGGAACAAAACTGGAACTGCCCACCTAAGCACAGGGTATCACCGGAGCCCTTCTGGCCCCCTTCGATCACGGTGTCACGTGCTGAGGATGCACTGCTCAGCCTGCGGGTGGCAGCTGTCGTATTCCTGCAGGTGGGGGTTATCCAGGTCGCCTCTGTCGCTGTGCTGGGCTGAGCCCTGCTGGCCCCACGGGGGGCCGCTGGTTCTCACGCACACGCAGTGGCTTCCCCTCGAGCCAGGCCTGTACAGCTTGCGGGGCACGCCGGTCCAGTCTCTGTTCACTCCCCCACTAAGAATGCAGAATTGAAATAAATTACAATTCAAACATCCAATTCAGAGCCATGAAATGCTTCTGGAGAATACAGAAGCAGGTCAAAATTCAAAGCACTCCGGGAGATTAACAGTGCACGCGCTGAGACAGACTTTGCTCCCAACATCCCGCTGCCTTCTGATACTTATTTATCAGCTGAAACCCATGGCTTGAACCTGTGTGCAGCTACACGCTCTGACCCACCTGACAGCGACCAACTTCTGCTGTTTCTATTAAGGGAAGAGGAACCGTGGCTGTATGTGGCACAGAGTGCCTAATGGAAGAATGCCTTTTCTGGGGTAGCTAATAGCTCACAGACGATTACATGTTGTCTTTGGTGAACACAGAGATTTTGAGAACTAGGGGGAAAAAAAAAAAAAAAGAAAAAAAAAAAATCTCCAAGTATTTCATAGCATCTCTTTATGGGCCAAGTCCTGTCCTGTGTGTTCCCCTAACTGCTGTCTTTCATTAAGCCTGTAAACGCATACATGAGAGACTACCACATAACACCCAGTTCTACAACTGCAAACAGGCTCATTTCACACAGAAGCAAAAGCAAGGTGCACACTGCTAGCATAGCTTGCCCAAGCATTTTCCAGTGCAGTCTGTGACATGATTTCAGCTTAAAACAAAATGGTCTCCAATCCAAGGGAGGTACACATCTAAACAGGATAAGTAGGAAATGACTGTTCAAAGATCAATCTTATTTTTATATGGTTTTAAGAGGGAACTGTTGTTCCCTTTGAGACAGGCTGTGAAACCTCAAAAAACAGCAGCTGATCTTTTGATTCATGATGGGTGAGAAGACCTGCCTGAATGCTGCTAACAGCCCAGTGGGATTTCTGACCTGCTTTCCTGAGTGCAGGGTGATCACGTGCATGTAGGGCAGCTTCTGAAAGCTGATCTGGATTCCAGTGTGACAAAAGTTTTTGCCTCAGAAATAAAATTCCTGAAGGTGTCAATGATCAGGATGAGTCTCGATTTTCTTTTTAACCACTCTCCGTGTCGCTGAGCAGAACTCCCACTCTGCTGCCTCCCACTGGAAGTCAGTTAATTACCATCCCACTGTGCTCCTCCAGCTGCGGAGAGGCTATCAGCTGTGGCTGAACCAGCAGAGGGAATTAATTCACACAGAAACAGATAAACCTGGCACAAACTGCTGGTGGTGCTCCTGGTGGGTTGGCTGAAAGCACAACCTCAGGAATACAGACAGAAGGGATCGTGTCTGCAATATTCCAGCCACGCCAGCCCTCGGCACGTCTGCACTAACCTGAGCTCTTCTGTGGGAAAGCCACAAGAACTCACCTAAAGAAGCTGGGACACCTTCTAGTGCCTCTTCTGCTATGATAAAGCTGTGGGTGCTCAAACAGAGGGGCAGAAACGCTCTGCTCCAAGAGGCCCAAGCATGACTGCAGGAAAGCAGTACTTACCTCTGCCTGGAGCACCAGAATCGGCTGCCCTTGGCAGAGCTCCACTCAGAGTTGCAGGGTGGAAACTGCTCCTTCCACTGATCACCTTCTGCTTTGAACTTCAGCCCTTCCTCGATGGCAGCCTCAGCCTGCTTTAAAGCCTCTGTCGGTGCCCCATTTTCATCATAGAATCTGCCCACCAGCTTCCCTTGGAGAGAAGATCAATTAAGACTACATCATTTCCAGGCAAGGAGCGAGCTGCCCAGAGAGGTGGCAGACTCCTTTTCTAGAGATATTCAAGACCTGTCTGGATGCTTTCCTGTGTAACCTACTGCAGGGAAACTGCTTTAGAAGGGGAGTGGATTTGATTATCTCCTGAGGTCTCTTCCAACCCCTACAATTCTGATTCTCTGAAAGTG